TGATGAAAGATGAAATGTAAATGATATTTCTTGACACTTGACATCGCTGACATGAGAAAAGACAGGAGGACTGCTATCGATTGTCCAAGTAGAACTATCGATAGTGTAGCAAACTATCGATAATTACTATCGATAGTTTCCCACCACTAATCTGCGATTTCAGTAGCAGCTAGTGATTTAAGTGGATATGCTTGCGCATATTTGGAAAAACTGTCGACGATGGTGAGGAATTTACTTTTTTCTAGGGTGTAGGTATCAAGGTGAATAATTTCAAAGGGCCTTGATGCCGTGGGTGTAACGTTCATTGGAATCTTTACTGGGTTACGTTCATATTTACTACAAATACAAATTTCGCATTCGTTAATGTAAGATTGGACGGAACTTTTAAGATCGGGCCAGTAATATTTTGTTTTTAATCTTTGAACTGTTTCTTCTATGCCGCGGTGGTTTGACTTGCTTTCGTGGTAATTTTGTATGATTTCTTTAATATCATTTTTGTTGGTAACGTCGAGTAGTTTTGAAGTACATCTTTTAAATTGTAAAGAGGGTCATTTAAAATTGTTCTTGATGACTCGGCAAAATGGTTCATAAGCCTCTGGATTTTCAAAGTACAGGTGGTATGGTTTATTTGGCACTATTAATTCTTTGATAAATTTCATGATGTCTTCCTCGAAATTTTCCTGCGATAGTTGTACTATTATATTCTACGTTTCTTGTTAAATAGTACAATTATTTTCGCTCTTGCTGGTGAGTGGTGTACCTGCTGCAATATTATTTGATTAGAACCATAATTGACAGCTGTTTCAATAATAGGTACTCCTACTACAGGGTTTTGGTCGGCGTTTGTATGGATAGTTGCATCATCGGCATCTTGCGCGATTTCTGGTGGGTCATTGTCCGGTTGTGCTACAACTGATATTTGATCCATATTTTCGTGACTTGTGCTAGGAATTGCGTCATTATTTTGGTGGTTGTTGTCCTCTAAATTTTTAGTTACGTCTTCTACATATTTTTGCAGGTCAAAAATATTTTCTGTTGTTTCTTTAGTATGAATTTCTATTCTCGATAGGGCGTCCGCATTTGTATTCAATTTTCCTTTCTTGTAAATAATTTGATAGTTAAATTCTTCTAGTCTTATTCTCCAGCGAAGTCATTTTGAAGTTGGTTCTTTAACTGAAAAAAGCCATTGAAGCGGTTTGTGGTCTGTAATGATGTTAAATTTTCTGTCATAGAGATAAGGGCGGAAATATTTGGTTGCCCAAACAAGGACACAAACATTCCTTTTCTATCGTAGAATAGTTGCACTCAGAGTCGTTGAGCGTGCGTGAGGCATAGGCGATCGGTAAATCTTGTCCAATTGGCCCTTGGGAAAGTACTACTCCTAAGGCCAAGTTACTCGCGTCTGTTGTCAAATTAAAAGGTTTTGAAAAGTCAGGATACTGGAGTATGGGTTCATTTGTTAGTAAATTTTTGCACATTTTGAAACAGTTAATAAATTCTTCGATTAATTTTAGCGCCTTTCTTCAAACATTTGGTGAGAGGTTTCGTAACTTTTGCAAAATTGTTAATAAATCTCCGGTAGTAGCCTAACAGTCCTAGGAATCCTTTAATTTGCTTTGTAGTCTTCGGTATCGGATACTGCTTAATTGCTTTAATTTTATCGGGGTTTGGTTTGACTCCCTCTGGCGTCACAATATGACCCAGGTATGCGACTTCGCGACGCAAAAATTCGCTTTTATCAAGCTGGATCTTGAAATTAGAGTCACGTAGCCGTTGGAAAACATTTCTCAAGTTATTTAGATGTTCCTGTAAGGATGTCGAGAAAATAATGATATCATCTAGGTATACCAAACATTTTTCATTTTGAATACCCCTTAAAATTGAATCCATTATGCTTTGAAAGGTAGTAGGCGCATTCTTCAGACCGAAGGGCATCCTAAGGTACTCGTAGTGCCCATTTTCAGTGTTGAAGGCCGTTTTTTGTATGTCGGCTTCATTCATTTCATTCTGGTGAAAGCCTGATGCAAGGTCTAATGTTGTAAAATACTGGCATCTACCTAATTTGTCTAACAGATCCGTGATATTTGGTAGCGGGTATTTGTTATCGATTGTCTTTTCGTTCAGTTTTCTGTAGTCCACGACTACACGCCATTTTTGCTTTCCTGTAGCATCTAATTTTTTTGGTACCACCAAATTGGTGAGGACCAGGGAGAATTTGAAGGTCTTATAATTTTTTGATCTAACATTTTTTCTATTTGATTTCTTACTTCTTGGCGATGGATGAACGGGTATCTGTAAGTTTTAGTATAAATTGGAGTCTCATCTGTCGTTTGTATATGATGTTTCAAGTTACTAGTGAAAGATAGAGGTGTATTTTCTTGGTAGAAAATATCTGAAAATTCTTCACACAGTTCCAAAGTTTTGTATTTTTCTTCATCATTAAGATGATCAACGGGAATTTTTGATAAATCTAGTCTTTGTTTGGGTGATTCGTCAAAATTATTTAAATCTATCATCTCGATATTATTTCTTTCAAAAGGGTCGACTTCTATTTGTTCTGAAAAATCTAAAGTAATTGGCTCGCAAGAGTTATTTAAGATTGTTGTTATTGCATAGCCATCTTTTGCGATTGTTAGTGATTCGGGTATTTCAATATTGTGTAATTTCATATAGGGAACAATAATTTCGCCATTTTTTATAGATGTTTTGATTTTAATTACTTTTTCTGTTCTCGCTTCAACAGTAATGCAATTAAGTTCGTTTTGTGTTTGTTGATTTTTTAATTTGATCTTTGCATAGGGCGTAATAAGGTAACCACTATTAAAATCAACATTTGCTTGTAATAATTTTAAATTGTCAAGGCCTATCAAACCATCAAAAATGTTATGGAATTTGAATAGGTAAAATTTGAGTTTTCCTTTTTTGGGTAAATTAAATATTTTAGGTGCTGGTATGTTAGCACTATATTTATGGGCTGATTTCTGGAATACCGTACTAACGATGAAAGGATCGTTAATAACGAAATTCGGAAATAATTTAAATGCTATATTTGGGTCAATAAAAGATTTCGTGGAACCTGAATCAATTAAAATTTTGACGTTGTATTCAGGAAACACTATGTATAAGAGTTCACTGGTGTTGTTTAAATTTAATGAAATCACTGGGGGCGATTCCGTCAAATATTCTGATTGTCTTCGGCTGATTCCTGAAAATTTGATTCCACAGCCTGATTTGATGTGGTCGGTTCTTCTTGAGTTTCATTTGTATAATTTATCTGTGCTGGGTCAGCATTTGAATAACTGATGTATTGATATTCTTCAGAAGTTGGATCTAGTTCTGTAGTAAATAATTCTTCAAATGCATATTTGGGCTGTTGCTGGTACTGTTGTTGTGGTTGCTGGAAATTTGATGCTTGAGCCACTGGTGTGAAATTTTGGGTGTTTTGGAAACTTACATCTGACATTGGTGTGGGCTTTGGCAAGATTTTTCCAGGATTTTGTCTGAATTCTAATATTGATAGGTTGTGACGGAAGGGGCTGCTTAAATTGATTTGGTGTAGTTATTATAACCAAAATTTCTGGTTGGACCATTAAATCGAAGTTGATGTTGCTGAGGTTTTGGTTTTGTATGATTTGCATTGCTATTATTGTGATTGGGTTGATTTTGGAAATATTTTGTGTTACTCTCTCGAATAACAAGTTGTATGGCATCAGCTAAATCTTTTGGTGACATTCAACGAATTGTGTTGCCTAAAGGTTCTCTTAAACCGGCCAAGAATGTTTTTAAAGCAAGTTCTGTATACAAATTTCGTTTTATTTGGGCAGTAGCCACATCGTCGTGAGCATCTACGTAACTGCAGAGTAAATTAAGTAATTCGAGAAGTCTATCATAGTAAGATTGAGGGGTCTCATTAGCATTTTGTTTGGTTAAAACAAGGTCTCTATTCAAACAAGACTCGTCGCGTCTGTCCGCGAAATGTCTAGTCAATGTATTTTTTAGACCGTCCCAGGTGGAGACATTCTGAACATTAACCACTAACTAATCTAGCATTGCCAGAAAGTTTACCTATAAGAGAGTTTATTAAAAATATATTTTGGAAACAATTTACATTTACAGTATCATAAAAATTATCTATGAGAGATTTGCAAGTCGCTAAATATCTGTTTAGCTCGCAAGGGTTTCCCTCGAATTTTGGGACACAACTTAAATATTCGGGTTTAAATTGAGCCATAGTTACTGGTAAATTTACTGTAGCAATATTTAAAGGAGAAAAGTTTAAATTTTGTTGACTTCGCAAAAGCGTTATAGTTTGTGCAAAAGCAGTTAAATCTAAGTTTGAGCTATCAATAGGTAAAAATATTATTTTCACTTTCTAATTGATCAATATTACCTTCAGTTTCTAATTGATTATTAGATTGATCAGTTAACACTTCTGTATTTGAAGCGGAGTCAGAGCTATTATCGTTTATCTCAATACTTTCAAAAGAGTTAATTAAATCGTACAAATCAGACATTTACAAATTGCACTTACATAAAATATGCTATCAATTTTCGTGCCATAGAGTTTTCTTCTTATGTCTAGGTGGTACTATAAGGCCTCAGTCCTCTGGTGGCAATTTTGTAATCCAAGTCCAAAAGCACTAAGTCCTCGCAGAGGATAGAGTTTGTTATCAATTCTCAAAATGCCGTCGCGAAACAATCCCCAATTAATTGGTTTACGCACACGAACACTTTTCGTAGTCACGGCCGAAAGTTTCTGATGTTCAATCAAAATCCCGAACCGTAAGTTCTTTCGGATAGCCAGCTGACCGTTTCACGATAAATCGATACTCGATGTATTGATTCCTGACTATCCCACCGACTGCGCCAGTTACAAATCAGTACGCGATGTACGATTTTTTAAAAACAAATTTATTTCACTTAAAACTATTACAATATTTTTACGTTTAAAATTTATTAAAATTCGAAGCGTCGAAAGTGAATGCAAAGCTCTGACTGAGGACGCTCGGCAAGTAGAAGCTACAAAAAGAGAATACAGAATGCAAGCTAATGAAAAATAATATGCTGATTAAATAAAATATACAATGTAGAGCCGTATGTAACTCATGCACAACTTTGGTTTATAAATAAACTTTTCCATTAAAACAAAAATATAATAAATTTTATTATCCAACTAACACAAAGGTTACATCCTTTCACATACAGAATGCCAAACTACATTAAAACGAATTTTACAATTCAAATTTAAGCGTCAGACAATGCAGCCACTCCTGGCAAAACTTTTCCTTCCAAAAGCTCCAGACTAGCACCACCTCCTGTGGAAACATGCGATACTTTATCCTCGGTATTCCATTTGGCTGCGCAAGTTGCAGTGTCACCTCCACCTAAATAAATTAAATTATACATTATTTCTCAACTGAGTTTTATTTATTCTGATAACAAACACTAACCAATAATCGTGATGGTTCCTTTTTGGGTGGCAGCTACAACTTCGTCCATAATAGCTTTGGTTCCATTAGCAAATTTGTCCCATTCAAACACACCCGCTGGTCTATTTATTATAAAGTCGATAAGAATTATTTTGGGAAAACACTTTCCACTTACCCATTCCATACAAGAACTTTCGACCTTCTGATTGGTTCTTTGAAGAGTTCGATAGTTTTTTGGCCAATGTCCAAACCCATCCAACCATCTGGAATGCCAGTTTCCACAGAGGCACAGCTAGACTGGGCTTTCTCATCAAATTTTTCAGCGGTAATGAAATCTACAGGAAGGTGCACTTGAACGTTATTTTTCTTGGCTTTTTCCATCAGTTTTCCCACAATTTTGGCACCCTCTGCATCATAAAGGGAATTACCGATCTGAAACAGATAATTTCAAAAGAGTGTTATTTCAAATTCACAGGTAGTAAGTAGTAAGCTAAAAAAAAGTTAACAAGCAAAACACCTGCCTTTTTGTCAAGCAATGTCTAAATCGAATATTCAAGTACTGTCAAAACCTTTTTCATTTTATGTAACAAAAAATCCATTTAAAAGAAAAAAACAAGTTTTTTTTTCAAAGAAATTTATAGTGGAGCAGCAATGCCACAACAGTATATATTAATTAACCGACCCGTTATTGGGACTAAGCGTAAGATCAATGATATATCTCAGGGAGGGCCCCCGAATCCTATTCGATCTGAAGGCTCAATGAGCCCATATATTTCCGGACTAGTTACTAAAGGTAAGCACACTTAATACTCTTCTCTCATAATTTAAAAATATTTGTCTGATTCTAGGTTTAATGTGCACAAAACATGGAGACTCAATACATTCGTGTCACAAGCTTGAAGCGGCAGTGTCGTTAATGGAATACCAAAAAACTGTACATGATAATCTCATATCGATCAACAACAATATAAGTGACATGCTCAAAGAAACTAGTTCAGGAATCGACGTTATTTGCCAAAAGGTCAGAATGTGTCTACTGGATGCTAATAGTGTCAGTACCATAAAAAGGCACAGTAGTAAACAACTGATGCGTATTTGTGAAGAAAACCTTGATAAAGTGGAGGATATTGAGGAAGAAACGATTGCGGAAATAGTTGAAGAAGGAAATTGTGATGAAGACGACGAAATCGGGACTACGGGAACACAAACAAGGAACTCAGGTCTGAAGCCATTTTTTACAATTCTCAATCCCAAAACATTATCAGCCGAATCTGTAGCAGTCAAAGGACTATGGTCTATAACTTCCAAGCTGGGATTGTCCCAAAAGTGCACTGCAGAAAATTTCCAAAAAAGCATGCAAGAAGTGGCAAAGTTGAATAATTATGAGGATTTTTTATCTTCCATGGTAAACGATGTCGATGAGGGGATAAATCGGGATTACATGAAATATAAAAAAAAACATAAATCTAAAGTGAATGGAAATACATCAGATAAAATACTTAATTATTCATCATCAAAAAGTCGTAATAGCAGGAGTATGTATCAAATGGGGACCATTAAAAAGAAAGACAAAATTAATACGCTTCAGAATAATGAATTAACTGGAATGGAAGAAGATTTCAACGAAAATCAAGATACAAGGACCAGACGTCAAACGGCGCCTAGTACCATTAATGAGAAAATACAGAAATTACAAAATGCATTGAAAATTCATGCTGCCAAAAAAAAAGTTGATATCAGTCTGGGTAAGAACCGAGCTAAAGCCAACTAAATCCTTAGAAAACTTTTCCACTTTCTTTTCTTATTGTTCGAGAATGGTGATTTTCAAGATTTTGTTAAACAAGGTTAACAACACTGAACAGTTATAAACATTTTGTATTTTTAGCAGACATAACATTTCCATGTGGGGAAGTTTATCGTAAAAGAGCATTCACGGATTTGAATAAGAGAATGATTATGCAAATTCAGGCCAATGACAGTTTAATATGTTTCCAAAAATTGATGGACAAAAATAATAAATTTATGCAAAAAATGAAAAATGGGAAACCATCATCAGAGATGTACGTTTAATTGTAAAAATGTGAACTTCACATTAATGTTTTTTTTTCAGGTCTTTTATAAGAAGTCCCTTACAGCAAATATTGAAGAACGAACAGTTTCAACGCCAAAATCAAAGAAACACGAATTTAGCCAAAATGTATCAAGACAGCTTGTGGTTCAAAAACAAAATTCGAGAAGAAAAACGGTCCAAAAAAGAAAGTAGATCCAAGAAAAAAGTTGAAATCAAATCTTCGAAAAATGAAAAATATTTACATAAAACTGTACAAAGCGTGTCAAATGTACAAGCTAAATCGCATTCAGGGATGAGAAACTCCTCAAAACATTCAACCAGCAGCGTTGCAAGTGTGAATACTAGCAGCGCAGCAAAAATCCCTAAATCGCATTCAAAGATGAGAAACTCCGCAAAGCGTTCAACCAGCAGCGTTGCAAGTGTGAATAGCAGCGTAGCAAAAATTCCAACTAAATACCAAGTATCTATAACAAACAACCAACCACTATCAGAGCCTGAAAGATGCAAAATGCATTGGATGAGATCAAAATATGCACAAATGAGTAAAAAGCGGCTTCAATATATGGACATATTGGAAGACATAACTGATAAGGATATTTTGCCATTAAAATCAGAGTATCCTAGAAGAGACGAAGCTGTTAGTAGGGAAAAACCAAAGGAAAAGGTATGATTTGCTTTACTTGTTTAAATAATTGTCTTAACTTTAACGATTTCAGATTGAAAGTGTTAAAAATTCCTACCTTTATAAGTTGCTTCATGCTACAGAGAACGAAAAAGTTTGGACCGACTTATTAAAACCAAATACGAATGAAAATTGTAGTAAAACTGAATTTCTTGAAAGGGCAACAAATACGAGCCGTGGTAAAGACAAACTTAGAAGATCACTATCAAAGTACATTTTTGCTGATATTGACCAGATACGAAGGAATCAAGTATATACAGTGATGCCAGGTAAAACTAAAAATACTTTGATACCTGATAAACTTGTGCTGAATTTAGGTGGAAAAAATATTGTTCCCACTAACTTTCACTTGCATTTTGTATGTATAAGAAAGCCACATTGTATTAAAACATGTTACTTCTTTAAAGTGCAAATATAAGTGGAACATATTTTTCTACTTAAAATCATTATTAATTGAGATAATGCCTCAATAATTGGAAAAAAATTGGGGTTTCTAGTCCAAATTTACTACGATAACTCAAGAATAGCCGCCGGCCCAGCAAGAAAATCACAACTCGTGCCTCAAAAGTTACCACCTTTGCCCATGAAAGAAATGAAAGGTGATATTAGACTAGCTGAATGGTGTCTGGAGAATAAGAAACCGAAACGTAAGCATCTTCATTGTATGATCAAGATAATTACATACAGGTCGGAATTTTCTTTTATACTGTACACAATCTCTTATTAATACACCTTCGGGGCACAATAAAACTAGCACATAAAGATAACTACCAAATTTTTCATAAAAGTAAATACTTGTAGCACTCTAATGATATGAATATTGTAGAGCTGATATAGGGCAAGCCTATGAAAGTAAAACTCCAAATTTCCCAATGTTTAGTTCACAACTTTCTCAATCAAATCCTTGAGAGGGAACATGGCATATATTTTTGTTTCATTTATTCAATCCACTTGAGCAGAATACAATTCTAATATGACCTGTGCCTGTACAGGTTGTTTTTTTTATATATTGACACCCCATCTACAGCCTTTACCTTTACAGGTAGAAGAAAGGTGTAAATACAAAAGTTGTACAGTACACACGAGTGGATTGTTGCGGAACTTATGGGTGGACCTCTGCGGGACGAGCGCAGCGAGTTCCGCAGCCATCTGTTCATCAATATGTTGTGTAATTACGGTACTAACCTGACTCACTCAAATGTGAGTTATTCTCATTAGTTTAAGAACTACACGTTTCAGGTGAATGGCTTACTTGCACAGTTCAACAGTATATTGGTGAGTAGATGCGCTCGTCCCGCAGAGGTCCACCTATAAATTCCGCAACAATCCACTTATTTGTACTTGTACTTATTATATAAAGTCAAAATTTGTAAGATTATGATTATTCAGTTTTCGTCAGTTTGCCTATTACCAGGAATTAGTCATGTTACTTTACCAAACTAGTAATATAATGTGACAAGTTATTCAAGTACAAACGAGTGGATTGTTGCGGAACTTATAGGTGAACCTCTGCGGGACGAGCGCAGCGAGTTTCGCAGTCATCTATTACTTAATACGTTGTTCGAGTACGATACTAACCTGACTCACTCAAATGTGAGTTATTCTCATTAGTTTAAAAACTACACGTTTCAGGCGAATGTCTTACTTGAACAGCTCAACAGTATATTGGTGAGTAAATGGCTGCGGAACTCGCTGCGCTGGTCCCGCAGAGATCCACCCATAAGTTCCGCAACAATCCACTTATTTGTACTTGAACAATAACTTATTATATAAAGTCAAAATTTGTAAGATTATCTACTTTTTGTCAATTTGCCTTTCAACAGGAATAAGTAATGTTACTTTACCAAACTAGTTATATGTTGTGACAAGTTACTCAAGTACAAACGAGTGGATTGTTGCGGAACTTATGGGTGGACCCAGCCATCTGTTCACCAAAATGTTGTTCAAGTACAATACTACCTGATTCACTCAGTTGTGAATTTTTCTCATTAGTTCGAAAACTACACGTTTCAGGTGAGTGTCTCATTTGAACAGTTCAACAGTATATTGGTGAGTAGATGGCTGAGGTCCACCCATAAGTTTTATATATTGATACCCCACCTACAGCCTTCACCTTTACAGGAAGAAGAAAGGTGTAAATACAAAAGTTTGGCTGAATTTTTAGAAACCATGGTCAGAAACAAGATTTGAATGTCAGAAATGTGAAATTTTGCATGCTTTCAGCTTTTTTCAAATAGGATGGATATTTCATTCTATATTCTTGAAGAGCACAATGCCCCGATCTATATTTTATTGAGCAATTTCGCATATATTCCGGCTCCAAAAATTGTAAAAATACTATCCTACTACTAATTTTGTGAACCATTCTACTTGTATAGGTAAAAGCTGCAGGTAAAATTTAAGGTACTTGGTTTCTCTGATAGTATTTTTAAAATTTTTAGAACCAAATATGTCGGAGACCGCTCAACCAAATATAGAAAAACTATATAGTTTTGGAATCGGGAAATTGTGCTCTTCAAGAATATAGAACCAAATACTGCGCTTCCCATTTGAAAAAAGCTGAAAGCATGCAAAATTTCTGACATTCAATTTTTGTTTCTGACCATGGATTCTAAAAATTTAGCCAGTACTGTACAACTTTTGTATTTACACCTTTTATCTATTTGCAAAGGTAAAGGCCGAGGTAAAGGCTGTAGGTGGGATGTCAATATATAAAAAAACACCCTGTACACTTTTATATTATTACAGCCATGAAAATTGTTTATGATCCAATTTTGAGAAAAATAGAAAACGACATAAAAATTGTAAGTGCCAGACAACAAGAAAGCAAACGGATGACGCAAAAATTGTCAAGTACAGCTTCTTGGTCACCAAAATGTAAGAGTATTTTTTCAACAAAATCTTCTTATTCTGCAATGTAATGTAAATGTTGTTTTTTAGATTTTAACCAACTTTTCACTACTTCGTCTCATCAGTCTTCCGGATTCAAAACAAAGAAAGTAGATTCCTTGGATAAGGCGCTAAAAAAACCCCAACCAAAAATAGTACCAAATCAAATTTGCAAGGCTGCAAAAAATATGGAACGACGTTCTAGGAAACGAAATGTAGCGTCCACAGAACAGTCTTCAGTAAAATTGGACGTAGAGAAAAAGATTCAGAAGGAAGTAGAAATACAGTCTTTAAAACTTAGAAACGTCCAAGAACGAAAAATTTGGGAAAACAAATATGGCAAATCGGTTGGGCAAAAATTGTTGAATTTTGTAGAGAAACAGCCTGCTGCCTATGAAATACCGGTACCCAAATATGCTCTACCAAGTAATAATCGAATCCTTCAAAAGTTAACATTTTTATTATTATCGATTTTCTAGAAACTATCAAAGACCCCATTAGACAACGCGAAATGTTAGAAAAATTGCAGGAGCTCAAACAAAAAAACGATAGCATTCAAAACAATATTGTAAAAGCTATACAAGTAATTGAGAATAAAATGATAGATGTTTTATGCAAGTAAGTACTATTGATATGACTAAAATATTTAAAATAATTCGGGAACTTTCAGGCCTGCTGAAAGTATTGACGCCTTTGAAAAAATGGAAAAGGAAATAACTCAAGTTTTGAGTTTGATGAAAACATGTAAAGAAGGTTCACAACAAGAAGCTTTACCTCAAATAGGAGAGCCATACAGCGATGTGACTCAACTATCTGAAGACGTGAGTACCTATAATCTTTCAAATTCTTGTATTCACATTATAAATTTTGAAATTCTTAGCTATTCAAACGACTGGATAAGATTCTTGAAGAATCAGGAAATGCAGAAAAAAGTAGTAATCGAAAATCCAAAAGAAAAATGAAAGCTATCGGGTCACAGAAAAGCAGTGGCAGTGATATGCAAAGCGTTTGCTTCGGGTAACAAAAATTATTAAAAATCTCAAAGGTAATCATCACAAAATGTCAATATTTTTAGTTCATTGTCGCCTTCGGGCATAGAAAAATTTAAGGTCACCGCAATTTCGCCAAAACGTTCGAACCAATCCTCCATAATACCTCGTCCAAAAATAATAATGCCTACTGTGACAACAGATGAGGAATTTGAAACGATACAATCTAAGCTTCGTGAATTAAAAAACGACCTGGGACTTCAAGGAATGTTGGATATTGAAGAAAGCAAACCAGAAAAACAATTTGAACAGAAAACCATGCCAATAACTGAAACTGTTATTAATATAGCGTTCGTGGAACATAAACATGCTGGAGATAATATGAAAGAATACTCCGAAGCAGAATCACCATTACCTTCTATAGATGATGGGCGGTCAGAAAAATGTATGAGTGAGAATTTCAAGGAATCTACAGAAAGTTTACCGGCAAATGATCCAGATGAAAAATATTCATCGCCATGTGTCAGTGCATCGATCCAAGAAGTAGGTTGTGGCAATCAACAATCCTTGAATAATGATATGCAGCAATTGGACTCTCAGGAAGTAGCTGAAGATGAAAAAAATCCAATGGAGGCTTTTGTGGATCAATCAGAACAATATTATACACCAATAACATCACCGCTGGGTGGCATTCGAGATACAGAGGCAATCCAACAGGTAGGTGTTATGCTTAAGTTAATCGCTAATATTTATGAAACTATAGGACAAAATTTATTAACGGTTGATGTTTCAAGTAATTATTTTTCTGTTTAAATATGATTTTTGGCATTTTTAATTTTGTTATTTCCTGTCTCATCATGTTCTTATCCATCTCCATGTACTTAATCTAGGATAATTTTGAATCGTTCTATATTAGTAGGTACCAATCATAAGTGACTTTGAGTTTGAAAAGGATAATTTATTTTAGAAAAACTTCTTTCAGATTGAACCACATAATATCGATTCGGAACTTCCAGAACCCATGGAGGAGTTCAATGGACTTGCATCAAGTGCTGACAGGGACTGTTTTTATGATAATGTTAACAAAGTAATTGCCAGAGTCGAGAGTGTCTATAATCAACTGGCGCAGTTTGAAGAGGTACGAGTTGATTTTATACTACAAGACTTTTTTTTGTATTAGTTTGTTAAGATCTAGGAAAGTGTAAGAGATATTTCAACACTGTGAAAAAACAGGCTATGAGTTCAATATTTAGGCGCATGAGATAGAACACTCAATACTCATCTATGTTTCAGGAATGCTGATGAAATTACATATTAGCTTTGTTCCAACACAGCTGGAAACCGTACAATGTACCGTCACGATTCTGCGCAAAACCTGAAATGTGTGCGTAGAATCCGAAATTCATATACCGAGTGGTTTCGAAACCGCTCATGGGACGGTTTTTTCGCGTGTTGGAACATACCTATACTATAACATCAACCTTGTATCAAAATTGAAAACTACATAAGTTTTTTTTTTATAATCCTTTGCTTGCAAAATTCATAGGAGTTCTGGAAATAGGCTTACTTTATGTTTTTTGATTCGCTGAATCCAAATTTTCAACTTCCCACCAAAAATTCCTTCCCCAACCCCTCTAAATTTTGAAAAATAGAAAAAATATCGTTTTCTTTGAAAAAAAAATCGCATTTTTTTGGTACATATTTGAAATGTAGAATCGCGAACGTAGAGGACGCTGGTGTGCCTTGAAGAGTCACTCTATTGAAGCATGCTTATTGACACCTGGCACTTGGCTCCTCCCTTCACCCTCTTTTTCTTTTGTGTTAACTCCCTTCCTCCTTTAATCTTTCTTATTTTTCAACACCTTACTACTTATTTTAGAACCTTTAGAAATATATGGGTGGTTTCACACTGGAGTAGCAATAGCAAAAATGCGACGTGGCAATATGCGACGTGCGACTCAGATATTTATAATTTGCGACGTATTTGCAAGGCGCCCACACAAAGCACTTAATGAGCATTCACACTAAAGTAGCATGCAACGTGCTTCCTGCTTTCTAGCAGCAAGTCGCACGTCGCATGCTACTTTGGTGTGAATGTTCACTAAGGATTCTGCACAATACGTAAAATTTGTGCGTAGAATCCGAAATTCGTAACAGAAAGAATAATTCCGAAACTGTTTATGGGACGGTTTTTTTGGGCTGTTGAAACACACCTTTAATCTAACTTTCACAATGATATTCAAAAAATTAGTCATTGGAAAACTTATTTTCGAAACTGTTTTATTTAGGTTAGTTTAGACGGGCTCCAAAATCCAGAACAAAAAGTACCAAACATCCCAGTTTTCCATGACCCACCGAAAATTGAAGATTTTGAAGCTGATTCCTTCTTGACCCCTTTCATGCACGCTGTGAAGGACCTAAGAAAATCCGTTACAGAAAGTCCAAAATCTACACCAAGCAGCCCTAGATTGTATAGAAGTCCTTCCTATTTTAACGTGCTAAGTTTTTTAGAAACCTTAAGTGATTTGGATGAACGGGTTGTTGAAATCCGAGCGGCTAGGTAAATCGTATCTGTTAATTTTTGCCGTATTTTCTTCACTGTCCATGTTTTTTTTTTGGCCAATAAAAATCCATCTAACAAAAACAAATATTATTCATACTTTGGACCTAAAATCTGAAAATGCACATATGACTTAAGGGGTAGGTATTAAGGATAGTTTTTTGTAATGTCATTAATTGCACTTTTCTCTTTTTAGGCCCAAAACCGTCACATTAAGAGAAAACACTATAAAGGCAATCTTTATTCCAGAGTTCACCATTATGCCTATTCATGCCGCAACTCTACAGTCTTCAGGCAAGCAATTATTCAAAATCAGTGCGTAAAAAGCACATCAACCATCCAAAATGAGGGGAAAAAAATGCCAAAGAAAATTTCTTGCCTGAAATCACCATCAAGTATTAAAGCAGTGTCAACTGATCAAAGTAAGGGTGTAGAAACAAAAGTGGTAAAGAAAATTTCAAGTTGCTTAAAAAAACCACCGAGTCCTCCGAGTGAAACCATAACAGCATCAAAGAGCAAGCAAAAAGTAAGTTTTTCGTTACAAAAGGAGGAAAAGGCCACTCAAGCTGTGGAATGTCTTGTACCGAAATTATCTAGTCAAGGTAGTGATTTTTAAACTAAAAAACTGAATTTACGGTTGTTATTATTTTTAGAGTCTTTTTCTTCATTAATTATTATCAACAATAAAAAAGATGAACAAGTCAGTGCCGCTTTAGACGCGTTGGAATGTAAAAGTGTTGACAAGATGTCTTTGTCGTACGATGATGATTCATTCAAAAGCAATTTTGAGTTCAATGATGAAATTTCACCAAAGGTACCTACCTACATACCTAATTGTACATCACTTACATTCAATTTTTTATCAAAATTAATTTGATTTACAAGAAAAATACTAAAAAGTAATTGTTTTTATTTGTCTTGTAGCCTGGTCCAATTTTACAAAATTCCTTAGAAACAGCAGAAAATGACACTTCAAAGGAGAAATGTAAAGACAACATTCACAATGATTATAAGCAAACAGACAAAGCGGAAGAAAATTTTGATTACCAAACTCAAGTAAATTAAAAAATTTTAAAAAAAGCCACATCATACCTATAACACAACATAATATTTCAGATAATCAATGGCAAATTCAATGAAACCTCTATTCTACAAGCCAAAAAATACCTTGCAAGAAATGCCTACTTCATTAAGCAGGATGGTATAGACAAAATATTCGAAAACATCCGCCTAGAAAGTATACTTAAGCAAATGCTAAAGGATTCAAGTTTAGTGGAGCCATTAAAAGACTCTATTGACACTAAATTGTCAGAGGACACCATTGAGAAAACGCAAAAAATTCGTATAATGCATCAGAAAAGTGAAATATTGACAGATAATAAAAATGAAAAATGTTGGGAAAGAGAAACTTTCCTAAAAGGGGTCTATATATGTGTCTATTTGTTCATGTTTACAGCTTTAAAACTAAATTTAAATTTGGAGTGTTCTGTGGATTAAATAAACAAATAATAGCAAACATAACTTTGTTCAATATTAAAGGGATCAGTGTCACAGAAAACATGTAAAAGCAATAGCCGGTTGATTTATATATTCTACTTCAAGGAAAGGAATAGGTAGGTAAATTTACGTCAGATTTATTTCTGCTGGAAGAAGCATCCCAACCTGCTTTTCTCAAATAAAATATATAGGCCAGGGCAGATAAATTTTTTCGTAATATAAAATTTAACAGCAAACTATCGATGCAGTATTGTTAAGGATCATTTATAGATGCTAAAAACCAAAAATGCAACATCTAATTACTTTTAGGGGATTTTATAAACAATATTTAGTGCAAAAATAGGGCTTTTTTTTGTTTATTTCACTGTATTTCGAAAACTAATGATCGGATGGTTTTGCTACTATGGCAATAGTTTTAGAGCATTGAACAAGCTTTAAAATGAGCCATCATACAACCCTGTAGGTCTTTTAGTCTTCGAGAAATGATTTTTTCCCCCCAAAAAAGAGATTTTCGTAAAAAATTCCTAACTTTTTTAATTTTCATGCTAGACAATTAATTTTTTACACATACATAGTAGATGAGGCAGGCTTTATTGAGCCCAAATTTGGGCCCGGTCCGATGGGTCGTTTCGGCATAATACCCTTGTCAAGCAAAATGGGGATGTTTCTAAAGCAGTCTGTCGAATTGAGGATAATTTTTTTATATTTATTTTGAAAAGTCCATTGAGAAGTCAAAATACCAAACTATCGATCCTCTATCTCAGATTTTCCATTTAATTTTTTTATCGCAAGTAAAACGGTTCCAAACATCACTGAAAATGGAAAAAAAATTTAATTTCGTGGGCGGGGGGGAGCTTGCTGTCACTCCGTTTGAATTCCCGTCAATTTTTTCCATTTTCAATCATGTTCGAAGCCGTTTTACTTGCGATAAAAAAATTAAATGGAAAATCAGAGATGAAGAATCGATAGTTTGGCATTTCGACTTATCAGTGGACTTTTCAAAATAAATATAAAAAAATTATCTTCAATTCGACAGACTGCTTTAGAAACATCCCCATTTTGTTTGACAAGGGTATTATGCCGAAACGACCCATCGGACCGGGCCCAAATTTGGGCTCAATGAAGCCTGCCTCATCTACTATGTATGTGTAAAAAATTAATTGTCTAGCATGAAAATTAAAAAAGTTAAGAATTTTTTACGAAAATCTCTTTTTTTGGGGAAAAAAATAATTTCTCGAAGACTAAAACACCTACAGGGTTGTATGATGGCTCATTTTGAAGCTTGTTCAATGCTCTAAAACTATTGCCATAGTAGCAAAACCATCCGATCTTTAGTTTTCGAAATACATTGAAATAAACAAAAAAAGCCCTGTTTTTGCAGTAAATATTGTTTATAAAATCCCCTAAAAGTAATTAGATGTTGCATTTTTGGTTTTTAGCATCTATAAATGATCCTTAACAATATTGCATCTATAGTTTGCTGTTAAATTTTATGTTAAAATATGGCTGTTATTTCGCTAAGTGCCTTGGCCTAATAGTGTTTCATTTATTTTGTTATTTCGAACTGTACTACACCATTTCCACTTTTAGTTCAAAATAGATAAAGTTGATTTCAAAAAGCATCAAATGTATTTCAAAATAACAACTTTAATTTAAAAAAATATCAAATGTATTTCAAAATAACCAAATTTATTTCGAAATACATCAAATGTATTTCAAATTAGTGAAATGTATTCCAAAAATGGTCAGTTTTATTTCAAAGATTATCAATTCGATTAAAAAATAAAGTATGTGTTTCTATCGTACAGTTAAAAAAATCAAATTATAACTACCCTTACAGTTTTTGATGATATAAGAAATGATGATTTTGAAATACATCTGATTTTTTTGGAAGTATAAATGGTATAGTTTGGAATACATTTGATTAATTTGAAATACAAATGAAATATTTTGAAATAAAAGTGACAAATTGGAAATTAAAATATCAATTTTTGAAATAAAAGTGATTATTTTCAAATACATTTGACCGATTTTGAAATACTGTTGGAAATGGTGTAGTGTCAATTATGCTGCTGCATGTTTGCGATGTCACTGGGTATATCAAAAATCCACCTACCTTCATGCCTTTGAGTTCTTTGAGGAATGTATAGGCCATGCCACCGCCAATAATCATTTCGTTGACTTTATCCAAAAGATTATCGATAAGCTGAATCTTATCGGCCACTTTGGCGCCACCCAAAATTGCCAGGAATGGTCTTTCTGGGTTGTCTAAAGCTTTGGCAAAGTATGCCAGTTCTTTTTTTAGAAGAAAACCTGAAGCTCTTTGTTCGTAACCTAGAAATAAGATTCAAAGTGTTCAAATAAATATTTAAGAGAACTTGTAATGGGCCACCGCCAACAGATTCTACCAAGATTTAGAATTTTCTGTATGTATTTTTGCCTTTGATTTTCATTTTCATCAAACTGACTTAATTTGGGCTAATTATTATTTTTTTCTAAAGAGTTCTATAGTTAGCTGAACACTTCCTGATTGACTTAATATTGTTTTTACCATTAAACAGCCTTGTTTTGAGTGAACAGACTATTATTTCTTACCTTCTCCCATCATAGAAGAATGAGCTCTGTGAGCAGTTCCAAAAGCGTCATTAACATACACATCAGCCAATTTTCTTAAACTTGCCCGAAATTCTTTAACTTTTGCAGGATCAGCTTTGGCCTTGTTTCCTGAAGCATCCACGCCTTTGCCTTCTTCTTCAATGTGGTAACGTAAATTTTCCAGTAAAATTATGGAACCTGGTGCTGGGTTTGAACAGGATTGTTCAACTTCGGGTCCAACACAATCGGAAAGAAATATTACTTCTCTACAAGAAGTTGGCATTTGAATAAAAAATAAGTGAACCTAACCAGATTATCTTACTTGTTCAGAAGTTTTTTCAATTCCTCTGCTACTGGGGCCAAAGTGTACTTGGGATTGGGAGTGCCATCGGGACGTCCTAAATGAGAGCACAATACTACACTCTTGGCCTGTTTGTCCAGAGCATATTTGACAGAATCGAGGGCTGCCACTATACGCTGGTTGTTGGTGATTTTTCCTTCTTTAAGAGGGACATTGAAGTCCACCCTAAATTATTTAAAAAAAAAGATGTCTTGCATTTTAAAGTTCAATTTACTATTGACTTATTATTGGCTGGATAAACCTTGAAAATCAATGAGAATAATGTCATCACTTAAACACAAACAGGGAGGGAAATAGGGAAATGTCCAAATCGAGGCATAAAATGATTGGAGAAAATAAACAATAGAGATTGCAGTTATAAGAAAGAATTTCAAAGAACATCCTATGAACAGACCAGTTACCTGCCTGAGTCAGCCTGAGATATGTCATTGCCTGAGATACACACAATTTTATAACGATCTATAAGCATCCAAATATAACCCAACGCCAGATAATAGTAGATTATACCACGAGTCAATAATGATAGCTATTATTCCCGAGGATTATTACGAACTGAGCCGCGTTAGCGGTGAGGGAGTAACATTCCGAGGGAATAATAGCCATTATTGCGAGTAGTATACTCTACTTGGGTCCATCACACTATCCGGAAACACGAATTTGCCATTTTTGAAGCTTTTACAGTAAAATAGACAACTCAAATAATAGTTTTATGAAAAAAAAAATGCGGGTTTTTTCATTTTTCTGCAAGAAAATTCAGTTCAAACTGACGGAAATTAACCATTTCATAAATCAAATATACAAGCAAGCGGCCATTTACGTAATAAAAATGCAAGGTGATATCAACGTTGCCACATTGTGTGATATTTCCTGAGCTTAAATAACAATGAACAAAAAAAAAACATAGTCATAGTTTCACTTAGAATTTATTTATATTTCTAACCAATAATAAGTTCCATTAACCATTTGTATCTATACTAAACAAAGCAAACTTCTTTAGGGAACAAAATGTAATTAATCAACTAACTAATCTTACAAAAAACCATTTAATATTTTTGTCCAATTTGCGATGTCAAGTTATACATTCGTTGAATGGCATTTTTGCCATATATCTGTTTCCACATATATTGGTCAATATATTGTGGCAAATATTTTGAATGCATAACACCCATAGCTCTAAGATATTTTTTCAAGCCAGACCAATACCCTTCCACCTGGTTGGTACAGACCCCTGTAATAGGATCTTTGAAATATTTGCTATGGTTTACTGTTCGGTGGACGTAACCATAGTCTACTAATCTAGAGTAAGCGCGCCAATTGTCTGTCCATATTTCACTACCGACCCTTACATGTTTTCTTATAATCGGTAGAAGAATCGCAGCGGATCGATTTTTGACATATTGAATATATCCCCTTTTTTCAGTCGCATCATAAATTCCTAATATCCACGACTTTTTCACCAAACGACCTCTGTTATATTTTCTTTTAGAAATTACCGATTCATCAATCTGTACCAAATGATTCTCTCCTCCTAAAAAGAATAAAAATTATAACAGATGATCCTCTTCTCAACCTTTGACACAGATCAATGAATAATATCAATTCTTATCAGTTTAATATCACTATCGCTCTCTTTTTTGATAATGACACATAAATAAAAAATGAATCAATAGTAAAGTACCTAATAATTTTTTTCTGGGACCCGTAATAAAAAGATGATTTAATTTTAGAACTTTTTCATCTTAAAAAAAAAACATAAAATCAATAATCTTCGTATTAAGTGCTAGTCTTCGTATGTTAGTATGTACCTATCTTATAAGAAATGAAAAAATCTCAAATACTTAACCCAAACTAACCTGTCCTCGAAATAAATCATCTTTGTATGTTGATATTTTAGAAAAAAAATTTCTTACCTAATAAAAATAAATCATCTTCTTGGCTTGGAGTAATTTCCATGACAAAATATCACGTATATATGTATATTGCTGTACTATAGCGTTCCTGTATTTTCCCAATAAAGCTGATGCTGACAAAACTCTGCATTCACAGGCCCAATTCCACATAATAAATAAAACGTCACGGACTGGAACGTTCATTTTTTCAAAATAACTTCCCGTTAATACGGAATATGTTTTTCTGCATTTTTTGCAAAAAAACACATAATTGAGTGACGACGCACCATTTTTATATAACAAATCACACTTCTTTCGGCAGTTCCGAATTTTACACCGAAAAGAATCTTTTAGAAGATTCACCTGCTGCAAATAACTTATAAGTTCTTTATCATTTTTATATGGATAATGGCAAACAATTGATAGATATTTTCAATTTCCATGCTAATATTTTTTTAAGCAAAAAAACACGAACGAAAAGGGATAAATGTTATATGAAAATTCAAATTCAAAATATCGAATTAACGGTTAAATGACGGACATAAAGCCACTAGCGCTATGTAACGGAATGCCCACCTATGTCGGGATGTCACTCGAAAACGCTTTTAGGCACCTGTATTTACGTATTTACTTTTCAATTCAAAACAAATCAAACAGAACAGCTGATGCATCTGTAAGAATTTCAGTAAATTTATTTATTCATAAGAATATTTATGTTTTCCGCATCTAATTAAACATTTTAAAGAAGAATTAAACGGTTTTATGAAGAAAATATATCCAACTTGTAAGTTTTAGTGTTTCCGTATAGTGTGATAGAACCCTCTACTTTATTTACGACAAATTAATTTATTTGAGATTTTCATAGAACAAATTTCATCCGTCTCATAATTTTCAATACAAATCCACAAGCACTACACGTTTGACACTGACACTTTTGTGGAATAATGACCCACAGAACATATCACCTATTATAGAAAAATATCTCAAATGGAAGAATCGCGACAAAGGTTTTTAGTTAGGTTTTCATTCAACGATGGCGACACTGTCGGGAGATAAGAGAAATTTACAGGTATCTGTGGCGTGGAAAGTGATTTGTGTTGGTTGGTTTTGTCATTTATTTTGTCATTTTAAAAGTCAAAATTTGAATTTTTAAATTGTGTTGTTGTACCCCACGGTTTCTACGCGCGGTAAAGTGAAAATTCAAAAAGTTTTGGTTAAAAGAAAACCTAATTTTTGTTCGTATTTTTTTGTATTTATTCGTTTGTTTCGTTTCGTTCGTATTTGTATTTATTATTTGTATTTACTTTGCGATCTACCTATAACTGCGTGACTCTTGCTAACTTACTAACTCTTATTGCACTATGTTCGACATCGGAAACTTCCTGCCAGTCATAGTTTTTAAAAAAGTGAGGCGAAAAGAGCTAAGAGGAGTCAGCAAGCCAAATGCAGTTGAACATTAAAAATTATACAAAAATAATAAAAATATATGAAAAAAATCAATTCGCCTTTTTGTCAAGAATACTCGATTAGTTGGGTTTTCAGTCAACGAGGGCGCCGTAATTCATAACCGGTACATACCATTGCAGATACTTTTCTAGAGGTGATATGTTCTGTGTAATGACCATTAATCCCGCTACGCGTCATTAATCCCTGGAGGAATAACATATGTCATTATACTGCCAAGCCAAAATCACAAATATAATACGCACATTATACATTAGTCGTAAATAAATACAAAAACTGTCTGCCAGAGAAAGAGATAAGGGAAAAAACAACCTACTAGAGGAATTATTGAAAAAAGGAGGGAAACCACTGATTGCATTTCTGTAAATATTATCCAATTAATGCCTTCATAAAAGTTTCAAGGGAGTGACATTGCAAAGATGATCCTGCTATTTGAATGGGGAATAAATGGAGATAAATGACAACTAAAAATCTACAGGCCAATAACTTGTCTTTCTGAATTTTATAATTGAGTATAGAGTAACAAAAATATTCAGAAGCTAGTTTCGACCTAATATAGGTATGTTAGGTACCGGACCTTCGAGATTTTAAGAAAGCATGTCTGAAATTTAATGTACATTCTCCAGACATACTTACAATGAACAAGATGAGCAAGGCCGACAAATATTTATAATTTGGGCTCAACTCAACCAAATTGAGGTTATACCTACAACACAACTTTCCCCTGAATGCTGGAAAATAGAAAAAAACGTACCTAATTAGTACTCGTTTCCCGCTAAGGTCCAATGCGTCGATTGCCAATTTGTTAAAAGCCATTTTACTGTAATTTTTCACCAAAATTTGTGTTTTAAACCGGTATGTGACAATTCGCAAGAAACTTGGAATGGCCAATGTCATATGAAGGTCGGTTTAAAGAGACGTTGAAGCGTTGGAAGGGTAAATTAAATCGACTTTTGTTAGTTCAAAATGTATGTACTGATTATTTTTAATAGAGAGAATGGAGGAAAATGATTAGTTCTAAGTAGTTATTTAGGAAAACAATTTCCAAAAACGGACTATTTCTTATTTTCTTGAATTATCCGCCAAAAATTTAATTATTCATGTGTTTGTTGTTAACAGATGGCGCGCTAAACAAAATGGAAATTACAGTGACTGTTGTATTCCTTTCAGGTGCCAACCAACACTAGAGCTACTCGCTCCGCTGTTAGTCGACCCCGATTTGAAAGGAACAGATATGGAACAGATGCGCTGACTTTCATGCATTTAAATGGTTTGAGTTGGGCTTGAGTACTCAGGTGCAACAAACACTTTTCGAAGGGAATAAGCGCGTAACGCCCCGGAGCTCCTCCTAGGTGTGAAAGGAATACAACTGATAACACCTTATAGCCCAAGCAGCGACTATCAAGGACACACTACACAGGATTGCTTATCGGCCTCGTTTTTAGGACATCACGGTCATGTGTAGCACCATTGATGACGTCGACAACTACGTCATCAGCTGTTTGCGCCAGCGGTCATAGCTTAGAATATACATTATGAAGAATATTATTTAATTTTCTTTAACATAACAGGCAAATAAGAAGATGCAAACGAGATTCAAAATAGCGTTGTTTTAGAATTTTAATTATGGCCGTTTCCACCAACTAATTTAGGGGAACCTTTGTATTCAAAGAGGGGAACCTTAACAATAAAGTATTCCTCAAACTGACATTTCTCCATGGAAAACTGTCATTTTAAGGAATACTTGTCGTTAAGGCAAAGGCTCCCCCAAATTAGTTGATGGAGATCAAGCTAAATGTACTAAAATCAAAGAAGGTATGCATAAAGCAAAAGCCCACGGAATCATAACCTGTGATGCTAACACCCTACGTCGGAGTAGGATTATCTTTGGTCAAGGCGAGAAACGACACGCTGCACGACATCACTGGTTCTCTGGCGTGGTGGGGGGCTTGAGATTTGATCTACACAGGCCCTATGAGGAAGAGCTATTCAATAGGTCTGTTTGTTATCCTCCACTAGTGCACAATAATTTACACTTTTCTGCGCTGAGGCGTTTGTTATTAGTGCAAATAGTGTAAGGCGTTTGTTATTTCAGTGTAGGGTGCCCAATCTTGCACTACTTACACCTGCTCAAGAGGAGGTGTAACAAATGCAGAATGGGGAGGGGTCGATAGTATTTAAAAGCTACTTCAATGAAGCTGTCTTCAGTATTGGAAGATAGGGAATCTCCATCTTCCTCTATAATTTACGACAATAAAACCTTGTAAATTTTGTTCTTTTCATTAATTATTATACATTTTTTTCCTGGTTAGTTTCCACTTTAATCTACTTGAATAATGATTTTTTGAGGTTAGAGAATTATCCGCTTCTATCGCTGCACGAACTGCACTAACGCGTTTGGTAGTTTTCCTTGCATTGACCCATTCTACACGTAAATAACAAACAGACCTTTTTTCTTGCACTGGTTCGACAATTGGAAAACGCTATAACACCGAAGGGAGTAGCTCTTGTGTTCTAAATCTCTTGAAAGAAATACAACTTATATCTAGGAGTAAGCTAATGCCGGTTTTCCACCAAACAGACAAAACAAAAAAAAACCCAAACTCAAACTTTTCCCAAACATTTTCAAGACTAGTGTGTTTTGAGACAGTTGGAGTTTTGTTTTCCAGAGAAAACAAAACGTAGTCCGCTTGATGGAAACAAGAGTTTTGTCTTTATTTCAGTTTTGCTTTGGCTTTAAAACATAGACCAAACACAAACTCAACAGTCCGTGTACTGGAAAACCGGCATAAGGATAATACACACTACTACACAGGATTGCTTATCAGCGTCATTTTTTCGGAATCGCGGCCATATTGTGTAACACCATTGGCGACGTCATCAACTACGTCATCAGCTGTTTGCGCCAGCGGTCGTAGTTTAGACTATACATTTATGATCACCTACGACACCTACATACAGATGCGAAAGAGCCGTGAATTCGTGGATCAAGGTTATATGTAAACACACATGCTGGAACACGCGCACGATCTGTGAAATGCGGCAAGGGAGCCAGCTGCCTGCTGCCGTTTTCCAAATTGTTATATCGATTTCCGTTGACGTCACACGTATGCTAACTGTATCGGTAGGGCTTTGGCCAGAGAATATTTATCACTGGGCCAGAGCCAGAGGAAACTCCGGAAAAAGTTGTTGATTTTGGGTTTTGGAACAATTTCAACAAACAATTCCTTTCACTCAATTTCGTATAATACTAGCAATACATTTCAACGGTAATCGAGATTTTGACAACATAGGAACACATAGCGGTACGCTTCTAAACATTCCGGTATAGGATTCGGCACCTAGGCATATCTCATTGGTCCGTTTGAATTCGGACCGCCAATTGATGCGGAGTGCTGAAATCCGTACTTGAATGTTGAACGGTGCTGAGCCTCAGATCAGAATGGTCCATTAGCAACAGCCATGTGAAGTGCCGAATCTAAGGTCAAAATGTTAAACAGTGCTGAGTATCAGGTCCGAATGTTGCCATGCGTTTGGCGCGGTTTTTATATTTAATCAGCTGTCCACCTCCTTCGGTTCCTCTTAACTACAATTTTGCGGCGGATGCGGTTTATTTCGCCGTTGCTTCATGTGTTCTTGTGCTTAAACATGCAAGATGAGTTTGCCTGGATCATTTAAACACTTTCAATGTGGTGAGCAAATTTACCGAGCCAACATTTTGGAGGAAAACGATATAAAGCAATGGATAGAAGAGTATAGTGATATACACGAATTGGAATGTGAAGTCTGCGAAAAATAATTATAACAGATTCAAATGCAGGTTTGTGTTCAATGTCAATTCAATGACGTAGAATCTTCTTGGATGCGAATAGACTTTGGAAAATACATTTTTTAGATATGTCATAGTGCTTATAAAAAAGTTGATCAAGGAAATAAGAAAGGAAAATCCAAAAACTGCTGTTGTCTGGCTTCAATTGATATTTTAATTAAACTAAGCACCACAGATACCAAAAAAAATTTAATATATTAGGGTATTTATTTTCAAAATTTTCTATTCTAATTAGCCAGGTTTCAGGTTTTTATAATCCCCCCCTGGGTCCGCCACTGCAAATTATTGTCCAAGATTTTTTGAAATGTATCGTTGAAATAAAATAAATGTGTAACAAAAAGTAAATAAAGTTTGTTTGTTGATTTTGTGCCGCGCTAACGGAGTAACATTCCAACCTGCAGCTGGGCACTGTTTAACATTTTGACCTTTGATTCGGCACTCCACATAGTATATGTATATATACCATTCCGACCTGAGGCTCAGCACCGTTCAACATTCAAGTACGGAATTTCGGCACTCCGCATTAATTGGCGATCCGAATTCAAACGGACCAATGAAATATGCCTAGGTGCCGAATCCTATACCGGAATGTTTAGATGCTAGCGGTACCGCGTGAGCGAAATAAATTAAGTGGATTTAGGCCCGTCGCACGCAGAATCAGGAGATTGTAGGTTCATCCCATAGGAAGGAAACATAAATTAGGTACAGGCGGGTGATCCAGTATAAGGTGAACACCCCCTACCTTTTCGCTAAAAAAATTTTTTTCAAAAAAATCAAGATAGCCATTTGGTGTATTTTGTGTCTAGGAATTTAGGAACGTTTTTCGAAATGTTATTAGATTGTTCGTTAAAGCACTGTGACGACAAAAGTATTTTTTTTAAATGAAACAACCTATATTTGAATCAATTTTTGAAACGCCCCTATTTTTCTCATTCCAAATACCAAAGTTTGTTTATCATTATTTTAGTAATTTGCGATATATTCTCACTTAAGATTCAAATAAGAATAGAAGAAAAGGTATTAAGGTAAATCTAAATAATTTTACCTTTAATAAAACTACTGGTTATTATGTTTTATGATACCTTTTGGGCTATGTTTATATGAATTTTAAAGTGAGAATATATCGCAAATTTTCAAAATGAAGATAAACAAACTATATATATTTGAAATGAGAAAAATAGGGGCGTTTCAAAAATTGATTTAAATATAGGTTATTCCATTTAAAAAAATTACTTTTGTTGTCACAGTGCTTTAACAAAAAATCTAATAACATTTCGAAAAACGTTCCCAAATTCCTAGAAACAAAATACACCAAATGGCTATCTTGATTTTTTTGAAAAATTTTTTTTTAGCGAAAAGGTAGGGGGTGTTCACTTTATACTGGATCACCCTGTACCTAAGGTACCTAATATTGTAGAATGTTTGTAGCAGCTAGAGAACTACAGAAAAATTATGAAAAATTCCTCTACTTCTTAGTTACATACCAGTAGCTCCGTGTGCAACGGGCTTAACTCTCCGTTTGAACATACGATACGAGAACCGAATTTTCGCGACGAACTACTTCCATGATTTCATGAACACAAACGCTTTCTCGAGAAACTCATGACGTCTGATAGTCTGATGGAAGCATGGATGCAGCTTCTAGCCAGCATTCAAACTCATGACGTCACAGAAGAACTATGGCTCGTCCTTGGATGAACTACATTCGTCGCGAAAATTCAGTTGAGGTTGAATCGTTCAGGAAATAAATAAGGAGGCAAGACAGAGAGTTCTAGAGGTGGGCAGTTCGTCACCTATATTTAGAGGTCCTCAGGGTAGGCAACTTAACCTTATACGGGTGGGATGCCTGTGAGGTTCTTGTGGTTCTCAAATAACTTTCTCCTAGCTCGAATGAGGTTGGCCAGATCGTCAGAACATCTCCCATGATAATAGCGATAGAATAATGACAAGTCAGCCACATTGCGGCGTGTATGTTCCAGAGATTGAGATGAGAGTTGAGAGTTCTTTCTCTTTTTTTTTTGTTCTGCATCTAATAGAGCTAACGAATGCTTGGGCGCATCGGTCCAGACTGATATGGAAACAGTATTCCATACATCGTCTGATTTGAGTCTTATAAGGGAGAAAAAGTTGTGTAGAGAAGTTTTTTGCTCCAAACAAAAAACCTAATTTTTGAGACGCGGTTTTGGCGATCGAAGATACCAGTCATGCAAAGGGTAGACAAGTTGCACAGCTTCACTATGATGGCACATATCCAGATAGACGGAAAAGGGAAAAACGCCACAACTGGGGAGTGTTTGGCAAAGAGATCTGCTGCGTTATGAGACAAGTACCAAAATCTTTTTTCTCTTCCATCTTGAGTTTAACGCTTGATAAGCCCGAGCCCGATTAATGTGTTGAAAGTAAGTGCCTATGGACTATCGTCCAGATATCTCAGTAATACTTTAGTTTCAGACTTGCAGTTTCAATGGCTTCGCATCCAAACCATTTCCATTTCGTATGAACGGAGTTATAGCAGTCCACTGTCTACTGCCTTTTTGTGCAAAAAAAAAAAAACTACGAACTTCCCAGGCAACATTTCATCAAATTTATTGATGCATTATGGCCATGGGTAGGTAACGTTCCTTCTGACGACAATCAGTAATCAGTCAATATCATTATATGTTGGAGTTATTTTTGTACTACTAAAATACAGCAAGTCTCAGAGGAAGCGAATTTTATTTCAGTGGCAGTTTCTTTGTTGGAGAGTTCTAGGAAGGATACCTAACAAAACTTCAACAAATTTTTGACAATTTTTTATTTCTTTAATAATGAAAAAATTCCAAATGATTTAAAAAAAAAAATCTAATATACAATACGCCCGGATTTACGTAGCCCGGGCATTCGAAGTTTTTCAGTTAGCAGGTGCAGAAAGAAATAGCATCTAATCAGCAAGTTAATGCATGGGCTACATAAATCATCTTGTACATAAACATCTAATTAAATTAAATACAGAAAAAACTTTTCAACTGATAAATCAAATGAAAACTAATGAATTATAGTGAACTACTTAAATCTCAATTGTTCAAAATAAATAAGAATAAAACAAATACCTAAGATACAAAAGCTGCATAAGCATCTTATTTAAATGAAATTGAATACAGATTAAATACAGCCTTGATAGCTACAAAAAAAATTACATTTTACCCATCAAAATGATACATCATTTTGAATTATTGTCTTTGTGTGTCAATGGGTGGTATGAATAAAAACGAAGTATCTGCTACTTCTACAAGTATTAGTAGATTCTCCGTAGTATCTACTTAAAAACGAAGAAGATACTACACTTCGAAACCAGTGAAAATTATTAAATGCTTCTTTTCGAAGTAAATACTGCGTAGAATATACTAATACTTGTAGTAGTAGCAAAAGTACTTCGTTTTTATTCATAGCACTCAATATCATCGAAACTCGAAGATACAATAAGCCATCAGAAAAGAAGATTTTTCTTATTTTACATATTTTGAAAAACAAATCCCGCATTCCATCGCATTTTGTGGTTTGGAAAGGAAATAATACACAATCCATGAGTGCTTTAAATATTTGATTTGGTAGCCGATTCAAAACTTTTAAGGTTTCCTTGCATAATGTTGCGTTGCGGGGGAAAATGGAAAAGAGAGAAACTGCAAGATGTTTCGGTTTCTTCGTTCACATTTCATGATGAGCTTGTTCTTTTATGATGAATCTTCACCTCACGTATTAAGACAATTCAATAAAGTACATTTTTTTTTTTAAATCATAACTCCTCTAAGGCTTTTCGAAATTTTGGCACTGATCATGTGCATGCCTTTTGAGATCAGCAGGATAATAGCAAGAAAAAGAACAAATTGGACAATTCAACGCCACTCTTAGTGGCGGTAGTGTCCGACATTTTGGCGGCAAGGTGCAATAACTGTGAAATCGAATAACGTGATTTTTACTGCCTTTAAAGTTGCAGTATTGACACATGAAAATCGGTAGGTTATATAAAAAGTGGGCATTCCTATGTCTTTTCAATAGGGCTTCTACTGATGTCCTCCAAGAACAAAAAGTACACTGGTAAATAGTACAATTAATTAATTTGACGCTTGGATGTGCTTTCTTCACATGGCGATTGAGTTTAATTCTCAAATCAGTGGTGAATGGGCACAATGGGCAATTGAAAATGTGTGAAGTAGGTTTTGAACCAAGAGATAAACTACTGCTATCTACTGCGTCTCTTTGAACTGAATTGAGATGTTCTTTTTCAATATGTGAATTCATTTTTATCCTCAAGTTAGTGGAGTATGGACAATGCGAACAATAAAAACGCGGGTTTGTTTCTCCATTGATGGGCACATTATTGAGAGAATTTTCAATATTGGAAATTTCTCCCACATGAGCTGGATTGTTTACTTGAGCTTTCTTAGACCGTGCCCCACCTGCATGAATGCGTCTCACATGATCCCTGAGTTGTCTACGTGTACTCCTGAAAGGACAATAAGAACACATTCCAATTGGTTGATTTTGTTGATGCGTTCTCTGGTGACGAAACAAGTAATGCTTTAGTCTGGCACTAAATGAACATTTGTCGCATCTATATGGGCCACGGTTGAGAACATCGAGTTGTTTCATTCGACACACACTTTCAACTTCTTTGTGGTCAGATGATTTACATTTGTGATCGTTTTTATCGTCGGTTTTAATTTGCTTTTCGTGTTCCGTCATCGTGGGTACGTAGTCATTTTCATTGTCATTTTTTGAATGAACTTGTTTGTGTAAAGGAAGTTCCTGCGGGGATATTAGCTGAGCTTGACAAGATGTTTGGTTTTGTAAGTGAGAGTTATCAGCTGTAAGGGCTCCTGGATCGTCTTCCACGCAATCTAATTGCAGTTTTGAATAGTCATGATCAATTAAATAATTTTGTTTCAAGCTCAGCTCATCAGGTAAGGCGATTTCCATTTCAGATAAACTTCTTTGGTATTTTAAGGCACCTTGGGAGCTTGTGTATTTGTGTTTATCCATATGCACATCAAGCTCACTCAAAGAAAAATTGGGATTATATTTAGTTTTTTTCTCGTTATTTGGTTGATGTGTCAACTGATGATCAAGAAAGACTGACAGCACATCATTCTCAAAAGAACATTTTTTGCATTTGAAAATATCCTCTTCTAATTTTTCATAATTATTATGACTTTTCATGTGTGATTTTAGCTCTTCAGGCAGTTTAGTGCTAAAAGAGCATTTAGTACATTTTAATGTTGTCAAATCATTTTCTTCTTTCTCGACACCTTCAATTCCTATGTTGTGAATTAGGTACATATGTTTTTCAAGGCTCTTCACAGTTGTTCTAAGACCACAATACGGACAAGACTTTGAAATCTTTTTTTTGTAATGGCCGTGTAGTAAATTGTGTAAATTGAACAATTCAACATCGTCACAGCTAAATGCGCATATTTCACAATTGAATTTACCAGAATTATGCTTGCTGTCTATCTGCTCTTCTAAATTGATGTTTGAACATTTCAAAATTGTATTATTCATCTTGCAAATATTTATGTGCAGGCTTAAATCTTTGGGTGTAGACTTATATTCACAATATGGACACTCCAGTGTTAGAGATTTGTGAGATTTCACATGCTGACTTAAAAGTAAACTGGAATCAGCTAAATAATCGCATTCTGGACATTTGTATACGATATCTTTGTCTAAAATATTATATTTTTGTTGTGGATGCATAGTTTTCATATGCAAAATAAGAGAACGTCTAGTATATGTTTGACTACAAAAAGCACACTTATAAATGGAGGAATTTGTTAGAATATGATGCTGATATTCATGATTGATGATAGTTCTTTTTTTATCTGATGTAAACGAACATTTAGAACATGAATATGTATTATCCTGTAGCAAAGATTCGTCAACGGACCCCTCAGGGCTTTCAGGTGTGTTAGCTTCAGTTAAAACAGGTTCCAGTTTGGGCCTAATCAGAGATCTACTGCGTACATCAAGAAACTTATGACGATATGGCATCTGGTCAGAGTGAATTGATTTTACTTGATGTTTAGTAGAATTTCTGCCTGAAGTAGTTTGGTTTGCAGCTGATGATAATGATGGTTTTTCTTCTATAATAAATCAAAAAACCCACTTAACACTAGAAGAGCTTTCTAATTCAGGGTGTAATAGGTGAGCGACTTGACCTGACTTTTATAGGTCTACTGACTGATGGCGGCATGAAAATTTTCATCATTCGATGAGAAAGTTATTTCACCTAATTATTTGTAGGATAAAAAAGGGTGCCGCTTGAGTTTGCGGTTTTCTTATTTTATTAGTTTAACACTCTTAGCTAAACAAACTGCTCTTGATTTTTTTCAAACAGAATGGTCGTTTATCTTCACAATCACAATAATACAGTCTTTGCAGTCATAAATAGTCGCGATGAGTCGCTCACCTATAAACTACCAGTCAGTAATCACCAATGCCTTCTCAATAAGGTATGCGACAGGTGGAACTCATCACAACACCTTTAATTTCTAAAATATGTTATTATAATTTACACTCACCATCTGAATTGATACTTTTGCTTCTCCTCCTTTTTCCCACTACCATATCAATCTTCAATCTATTTAGTTCAATGTATTGATATCTACTCAATTTTTTCTTGTCAAGACTTTCAGCATTCAACAAATTTTTGATTTCTTGGTTTCTTACTGGTGATTGCCTAATTATTTTAGAACTGGATTTTGATTCACCATCAATTGGGGGAATCATGCCATCTTCAACCATTGCTTTAGATTCCTCATCATTTTTATTTTCTTTTTGAAATGCAAAACATGATTTTCTTCCAGACTTTAATATATGTTCAGAAATATGATTGTTAATATCTGATGTAATGTCTTCTATTTTTTCAGATATTTCAGTTTGAGTTAAAGTTGGTCTAGAAAGTTGCGTTAAAGGAGCTTTTGGTGATAATATATCGTTTATAGATATATCACTATCAGTTTCAGTAGTAGATAGTTCGTTCGGTTGTTCTTTCATAAATAATGATGCATGATCGTGATTGAAATGGTCTAAGTTCGCAGTATTTGGCTGTCCTATTGATGCATATTGTTCATCTGTCACATTGTTGTTAAAATATGTATCTGCTATTTCCTCCTTTATCTCTTCTTTGATATTTAGATCCAGGAAAAGTAGATCTAATAAAAAATTAATTTATGATAAGTGTTTGACCAAATCAGTAACTCAAAAATAATTTTTCTTGTGAAAGCAATCTATCCTCAAATCTATCTCTACTTACCTGCCGAATCTTCTGGGTAAATGTCTATAGGTTCTTCCTTGATATCAAGATTTGATAAATCAATATCCAGTTCTGGTTGTAGCATGTTCGTCATGATTGCAGTAGCTTAATGACTGTTTTTTATTTTTATCTGGAAAAATAAAAATAATTGGCGTACAGCTCTGTTGTAGCTACAACTTGACACTATTTTTCAATTTGCGACTAAAGTACCTATTCTATCAAAATCAATGATATTTGGCAGGATGTGGTAGATGTGAATTATAGAATAGTGGAAAGTCATTTTCATTTCCAATCAAAAAAGTATGTCTCGCCTCAAAAAAATGAATATATTGAATAATAAATACATCCTTGAAATCTCCTGTAAACCTGTTTGTCCGATGAGCTAGTATGCTTTCGCTTATATTGCACTGATGAGAGCTTATAACCTCGAAACCAGTACCTATACAATTAGCGTATTATCTAATGAATGATAATTCGGGTTCCTCCATTGTCTTATAGAGCAAAACTACACACACGAGTTGTGTAGTCTGGAAATAACCAGAATCAGTGCAAACTTATCAGAGCTGGGAGTAACGACAAAAAATAGTTACTTCACTTTAACGAGTTATTAAAAGTAACGCGTTACTTGGTAACTTCGTTAGTTTTCAGATTGATTGTAAGTAACTGCAGATCGTTATTTTGTTAAAGTAACGAGTTACTTTGAAAGTAGCGCGTTACTATGAAAATAACGCGTTTATATGGAAGTAACGCGTTACTAGTTACTATGAAAGTAACGCATTCTCTGAATTTGTTTATCTTCTTTACAAATAATTGACAATTGAGGAAAAGGAAAATAAGTAATCCAAAAACTTATGTCAAATAAAATGTGGGTAGTACAGAAAATTTGTTTTGAAACCTCAAAATAATCGTTTTTGAGCGTAGCACGCGCCGCCTCTGCTCTAAAGACACTATATGCAGACACTGGGACGCTTCAAATACAGGTTTGTCCAAAACCAAGTTCTCTATTTAGTCGATTAATCCTTAATCCGTTTGAATTTTGCAACAAAACTCTTCCACATAGTCGGACTTACAAACTAAAAACATATTGGCATTTCGTATAGGAGGTCTTATTTGATTGCTGGGATTGCTGTGTTGGTGAGTCGAATTAATGAATAACGCAATTTTCGACGTAAGTAGTTATTTTTGAAGTAACGCGTTACTTTAAAAGTACCTAACGCTTTATTTAAAAGTAGCGCTTTATTTCAAACTAACGCGTTGAGGTAACAGGTTACTTTCAAATAACGAGTTACTTTTAAGTAACGAACTACTTCTAAAGTAAAGAAGTTACTTTCAAAGTAAAGAATTTACAGTAACGCGTTACTTTCCAATAAGTAACGAAAATAAAGTTATCATTATTCTAAAGTAACTGTAAATTTTAAGTAACGAGTTATTTTTAAGCAAAAGTAACTGTAAAGTAACGCATTACTTTTTTCAAGTAACGATCCCAGCTCTGAAACTCATGTATTTATCAGTCGACAGTTGGTACTACGATTAAACATTTGTCTTGTTTTGTGGAATTTTTTTTATCGCCCCACTGTCAAGAATTTTCCGAAAATTGTTTCAAAATTCTTTCAAATTTCTAATATGTAGGTATAGGTATACATATACTACTGTTGATTTATTTTAATTTCAAATAATTATATCTTGAAAATTATTTAAAATTAATTATTGAAAATAAAAAATATAAGAAAAAAGGCGCATATTTGAAGTCGTTCGAGTATAAACTAAAGTCTGTTTTTTTTTTTGTAAAGATAAAAGTCAAAATGACATTATGTTGGCAATACAATGTGAAATTGTCAATGCTTTCAAATTTTTTATGTAGAAAAGGCTCTTTAAAAAAAAAACAGACTTTACAGCAAGGGCAAGGTGAGGTCACAGACTATTTGCACATAAAAACAACCTAAATCCGCTTCCACCCCAACCGACCGAATGTCATCATTCATTATAGAATATTCACCCCATCTTTGATTGGCCACACCCAATGAACTATATACTACACGTATATACATGTAGTATATAGTCCACTGGCCACACCAGTCACCAGTATTTATTAAGTCACTAGTCACTTTCCGTCTGCCTTCTGACAGATAGGTACATATAAGATACAAACGAAAAAAATAGTCCATAGCAGCTAGTGATGAGAAAAAAATACTAAAAATTACCTATATAACATGCAGTGTTTCAAAGGCTATTTTACACCTAACAGTTCCACCTTCCACTTATATAAAAGGTTTATTATATTACACTTATTTTTAAGAAACCAGGATCACGCGCCATTTTGAATCGCACAGTTTCATGCATGCATAGAATTTCATGTCAAGCCAACGAAAGTGAAGTTTTTAACTTGGTTTAGTGTCTGGGCGGTAATTTATATATTTCTTTCAGTTTCCAACAGGCCGATAGAAAAAGACGGGAACACTGAATCTATTAATTGAAAACGTCAACAGGCTATTTGTGCACTTCGTCTGACATCTGTCAGTCACACGTATCCTACGCTACCTTAACCCTTTTCACGTGGCTCCGGTTTAACAAACCGCAACATACCGCTCAAATTCGAGTGGTAGGTATCGAGCACGTCACTTTGTAACCGGGTTAGAAAACGGTATGTCATTTCTCTAACCGTTTTGTAACCCGGTTAGTTAAACAGGAGCCGGAGCCACGTGAAAAGAACTCTTGGATTTAACCAAGGATGATACACACTACTACTACAGGATAGCCTAAGCCTATCCTCATAAGGCCTGTGTGGAACAAATTCTCCCTCCCCCAACCCAAATCACCAGCTGTGACGTAGCAGCATGTTATTTCTCGCCTTGACGTGGACTGTCTAAACTGCTGACGACTTAGGGCGGGTATTATAAAACTCAGTGTTGCCAATTAGCGTGTAATTACACGATTTGCGTGTATTAGGATTGACTTGCGTGTATTTTTCGAACATAAACAAAAAGCGTGTATTTTGCGTGTAATTTGAAAAACTTGACAATTTTTGTTCTTTCACGGCTTTCCAATCTAAAGCCACGGCTCCATTGTGACATAAATAGGACTTGTCGTTTTCTTTTCCCATTGCTCCTTGCACTTCTTTCCATTATTTTCTGTCTGTTATAAGGTCTATTAAGTGACTACCCTTATGTCACCTTATGGCTGGGCTCAAAACCAAGATTTCAGGAAACTCAAGGATAATACACACTTCTCAGGATTGCTTATCGGCCTCGTTTTTGGAAATAGGTTGCCTGAATAACTCTATGACGTCATCTGGAGTGTTCTAATGTAATGCAAATCTCCATAAGGCACCCAGTCATCAAGTTACTCATTATCAGACAACCTTGGGAACCTCGTCAAGACGAGAAACGACACGCTGCCTACGTCATCACTGGTGCTTTGGCATAGTGGGGGGTTAAGCTGTGGTGGGGGCTTGAGATTTGAACTACACATGCCTTATGAGGATAGGCTATCCTGTAGTAGTAGTGTGTATTATCCTTGCAGGAAACTGAGGTCCAAAAGTAACCACTTCTCCAGAAACCAGAGTAATTATAGTAGTTTGATTATTTTCGAATCGCGTTTCTGTCGTTGCCACATCTTTATTTTTGGTTAAGAAGTTATGATCAGGAGCATTAACCCTCAGATGTGAGCCGCTTTCCAGCTGTGTGCTTCAAGCACGGTGCAACACAGTGTTCTGTGTTTGAAACGCAAAATTTAGCAGGTCTTCAAGCGCAGTAGGTACGGCTGGAACACGAACACGCGCTTGAAGCATTTGCGCGCGCAAAAGCTCGATTGCCTGCTCGAAAGCGTCAGCTGGAAAGCGGCTGTGATTGGATTTGACCCCTTTCCCAAAATCATATATCGCAAAAAAAAATTATACTTGCTTCTTGATTTTGCAAAATAGGTACCAAAGTCGTGTGTAAAAATCGTGTAATTGTGAGACTGCAAGCGTGTAAAAACGTGTAATTTGACCAGCATATCGTGTAATTTCACAAAATCAGATTGGCAACACTATTAAAACTACTTTGAGAGTTAACTTAAAGTTAACTTCTGGAATTACATGTAATTCAAAAAGTTAACTTTAAGTTAATTGTCAAAGCAGTTTTATAATACCCGCCCTTAGTTATGAAGTCGGAAATGGCGACACACCAATCACGACCATTACAAAAAAACGAGGCCGCTATTAATTATTTATTCTAAAACTTGCTGCATCGAATGAACTGCTCTAGTTCGTATACATCACAGGACAGTATTGAACCGCCGCGGCGGTGCATCAGATTCTTCGATTCTTGACATGTTGCTAATTCGATCAAAAATACTTTAGAACAAAAATTATAAAAGATGGAATTTATTTATAGGCTGAATTTGTATCGGGTATAATAGACCAAAAAAAGGCAAATTCAAAGCAGCGCTACTTACCGAGTAGGCATTTACACTAAAAAAATAAATAAAAATTGAAAATTATTTGAATTACTCGTACTGTCGTGTCGTTTCACTACCAAGTATTATTCCAAAACAAATAATACACTACACAACTAATACATCAGTTTGTGCATGCGCTCTAAACGTGTCTTTATTATTTTCATTTTAAATGAAAGAGTTCAAGTACAAAAAACACTCGACCTAAAAATCACTCAAACAACAGTCAACAACATGTGGCGGTTTTGACAGTTATTTCTACAGCTTTGTTCAAGGAAACCGAGTATTTGGGTTCGGGCCGTCACGATTTTGCGTGCATCACGTTTGTTTGATAGCGCTATGGCGCGTTCCGATTCTACCTGCTCCAAATATAGAATGTTGCCCTAGAGCAAGAAGATTTTCACGGGTTCTAAATTGACTACGAGGTTAATAGGGATTGAATCATTTCAAATCAAATGGTCTTCATATTTTAATCTATATCTGTTTTGTGAAGCGTTTCCTCAGAGGATGGAACTGCTCTAGGTTCTTAACTATGCATTCTCGCGTTGAACTAATGGCTATGGAGTATGAAGATTGCATTACGATGAGACACCCCAGATGACGTCATGAAGCCATGGCAACCTACCTCTCCCACAAACAACCATGGTTTGGTTCAAATGTTCGAACCGGATGCTTGTTGCGTTTTTTTTTTTCTCGGGTATCATCTCTTTGACAGTTGACATTGGTTCAAGGGTCACTTATTTAGCCCGCCAAAAACACATTTTGATTTTGAACGCCTTTTGGATTTGAGCATGCGTGACCCTTCTCCTCTTTAGCTTTTCACCTCATGCTATAGGAGGATAATAATCCGTATTCCATTTAGACCCTGACGAAGTGAAGTCGTCAGTCGAGTGGTGCACTGCCAGAGTTTAGCAAATCAGGCCAAGGTCAATCAGGGTTTAAAAAGTTATACGCATTATATGACAAAAGTATTAAAAATAGGCCAAGGCCGATCTCGTTGGGGGCTGGGACACCCTGTATTCACCATTCATCGAAATAGTTAGGTTAGTTTTCACTCCCTCCAATCTACCTGTTTGTATTTTTTCTGAAATTATTTGGAATTTAATTTTATCTTATGATGTTGTTTTTTCGATACTTCTGAAAAAATGTAGTAGTTAAGTGATGCGTTACAAATATAAAAACATTTGCAAAAGGAACCTTTTTTTTTGTGGAACTGGTTCCTACAAATAGGACGACCTGCCTAGATTGGTGTTCCAAGTACATAGGACATACAAACCTACAAAGACCAATGAAAAGTTTTGAATTTATACCTGGGTACCTACTACAAGGTAAGAATTTTATTTTTGTTCAAAGGCACCAAAAGGCAGAGAACAGTACCTCCTATATATAATAACCTTTGTACCATGTCATCATGGAATAGACGCGTTTCCTGCCAAAGATTTTATGTGATCAACTCTGTTGATTGTGAAGGATTGCCTTAAAATTTAATCTGTTTTAGGCTTCAACCTTGTCTTGGCAGTTTTCTCGGGATATTCCGTGGGCCACTCCTACTCTGCAATGATCACTAATCACTAGTAGTCATTGGCTCCTCACCTGATTCACTTTCTTCGTCAATTACATTTGGACATTTGTATATCTAGTATGAGAAATGTGTGTTGGGCGCTGCAGATGTGAAAATAATCCTGAATTATTTCATTTAGTGAATTGAAAATGAACTCTTTCATTTCTTGCACTTCAGAGGTAGCACATGTAGGTTAGCAGAAAACAAAACATGCTAATATTTAGAGGTTATTGTGATATTTCTGTGTTCTCAAAGTCATTATACTTACAGTCCCATAAAACTTCATTTTACCATTGTGATCTAGCTATTACATTCCCTCTCAGCATCCAGGAGTGTTGTTCTACTTCTGCTCTATTTATTGGTTGTTAATCAAAGAGCCTTATTTTTAAAGCTCTAGCATAATATCATCAATTTTATCCAGCTGTATTATATGGGGATGAAAGGATACATTGATTGTAAAGCTTTGCCAATCATGCTCTTTGAGATATTCCAGCTATCTGGTTTTCTTCACTGATTTCCTGATACAGTATTTTTCACTGAGATCAACAAGTCTTTCCTAATAAATCTCCGCTGCACTAAAAAGTCATTGAGAACAAGGCAATCAATTTTATTATTTAAAATCTTCCAGAAGAAACGCAAATTAAGCATTGGTTTTTAAGGCCCAATAAGCTGCGACCTCCATAAAGAAGTTTTAACATTCTGCATACAGCAGAATTTTAGTTGCTTTCTGGTAGGTACTGGTACTAATCAATTTTAGATTCCTTCACTTTCTCAAAATGAACTTCATTTTAAAGATGTGTTTTACAGTGATTTTCTCAGCAAAAAACACTCCAACTTCTCACAGCTGCTAACCTGTCAAGGACACAGCCAGTCACACTCACAGTGCACCACTCCTGAGACCACTCCACCATAGCTAGCAAGCCTACAAGAAGAGACGGTCTATGAATGACTCATTGTGTTGGAAGAATTTAAGATCGGCAGCGTGGGCTAGTTGAAGCAGCGAATATATTAAATAGAATTTAACCTCATAATACTGCCTGTAATCCTGTGTGAAATACATCAAATTGGCTTAAGTGACTCACAAACACTGTGTCAGGAAGAACAAGGATTAGACATGCATGATCTTTTTGAACAGAAACCGAAACCATGCTGTTCAAGCAAAAGCCTGTGCTTAATTCAGGTGAAGATCATTAATTTTATGTAAGATGATCTCGAATATTTTAGAAAATTTCAAAGGATGAAGATATTGAATCCTGTTTAAAATACATCAAATTGGGTTAAGTGCCTCACAAAAACTGTGTCAGGAAGAACAAGCATTAGACATGTGTGACCTTTTTGAACTGAAACCATGCCGTTCAAGGAAAAGCCTGTGCTTAATTCAGGTCATCATTAATTTTATGTAAGATGATCTTGAATATTTTGGAAAAATTGCAAAGGATGGAGATAGGATGGTAATTCTGAATAACTAATTGGTTATTCTTTATAGGCAGAGCATTCTGCAATATCTCCAGTCTCATGATTAAATAAACATGTGACACAATGTCATACTCATCCAGAAAATGAATGCGTGTTACAATACTTGCCAGTGACCTCTCCTGGAATATATAGAATAGTGCCACTGGAAAGCTGGCTTCGAGTCTATGTTCAGCGTGAGAAACTGTCAGCAAAGAGGCAGATGTTCCATTTGAGTTTCATAACACTTATTGATTCTCTACAAAAAACAGCTGTTCAGATGATAGCAAAGCAAATATTTCCAACACTACTTATTTTAAAACTGTCTTTAAAGATCTGCAAATATATTTTTTGGATGACATTTTTGGTGTTGGTTTAGTTTTAATTTAGTAGTTGTAAGAGATATCTTAGATATAGGATATTATACAGCTTTAGGCAATCCATAAAGAGATTTGTTCATCAAATCATTTATTCACTTACACAACACGAATGAAGTATTTACAGATAAGGCTTGAGATGCCACTGGACAAGAGCCTAACTTAATTAAGCTAACTAAGGTATTGTAGCATTTACGTCATAATTTATAATCGGTCTAATTTATATGTTCTCCTGGAGAAGTTCATCCGTGGATAGTCCATGCGCAAAAATTTCCTGGCTTGGTCTTAAGATTAAAATATAGTAATCCCCCTTTATTTTCGGATCACAAAGATATGATGTTATAAAAATATAACTTGACACAAATATTCATAAACGGCTGAAACAGTAAAATCTCTACTAAGTTTAAAATAAAAGAAAGCCAAATGTGCTAAAGTAGAGGATTACCGCAAAAAAATATATATTTGTATAAGGCAATTTTCATGAGATTTGATGGCAGTTTGTTGAGATGGGCGCGAAAAGAGTAAGATTTGTGAGGAGAAATGTATGTACAAGTGATTTTTTTTGCCTTGTATCAGGAATGGACAGTGGAAGCTGGTGAGAATCAATAGTAGAGGGTAGAAAATCAATATACCTACATTTAAGGCAATGGCAGTATCTCGGGCAGTATGTAATTTTTATGTTGTTTTCACTGAAACAAGGCTTACAGGAATCTAGAAGGCTTAGAGAAAATATTAATTGCTTATACCAAGGTAATAATAATAAATAATTTTTAAGAACCAAAACGCACTGTACAAAAATACAGCCCAACATCACTTAGGAGAGGGCAGAAATGCCTTGGGAAATGCAATTCAAATTGTGGCATATCTTCCAAATAGGACTTTTCAATAAGATGTTTGATCTAGCAAGATCACATGCAAAAGTTGCTTCATATCTAGCACTTACAGGCTTTGAATAAAACTGAACAATTAGTTTTGGAGTGAGAATCTTATGGAGAAACGATTATAAGTGAGAATTTTGACGTTATTGTCCAAAGGAAAATTGAATATATGAGGAAGCTGTGCATTAAAGATAATTAGTAAGTAAGGGGGTATCTAAACAATCAACAAGCCAATTAATTATAAGTGCACCGAGAAGTGCACTTAGAATCCGGAAAGTTAAGTTATACTGTGTAACAAATCACTACATCCACTCCACTGTGACTTGCCAGAAACTTATCAACCTTGGAGTTGAAGTTGAAAGAATCTGTAAGAAGGGAGTCAATTGCATATCCTCTTTGCAAGCGTCACAGAAATACTGGAAACTTCTTTTTGTCTTAAGTTCAACTACACTAACCTCAGAGCTGGTTGAGTTGGAACACTGAGTGAGATATTTGCTCTCAGTTCCATCTTTAAGATTATTATTTACCAATGTCATAATAATCTGTAATGCAGTGTACATATCTAAGGGTGAGCTTTATGGTGAAGGGTTAAAAGCTTGAAGTGGGTATTTTTGAGGAATTTAAAAATCAAACGCTCTCAACTGAAAATTCTTAAAACAGTAAAAGGATTATCAATTGGAATAGTTTTATGTATTTGGGAAGATTTGGCGTAAAGGGTTGGAGCATGTTAACATTTGAGGACGCTCAAAGCGCTTGGATATTTTCGCCCCTGCTCCCCATTTTCATCAACTTGCAGAACTTTTATTATAGAATCACACACATTGCACAATTGTATTTTTCGAAATGGGGTAGAATTTGGGACTTGGAGTTATTTTGGGAAAAGTGTTTTTAGCCCGAGAGGTGCTAGCTTGCTGTTAGCTGGCCCCTCCACAAAATAAAAATGATTTTTCTGAAAAAGTGAAGTACCCTTTTCTATAAGCAATATGTCTGATAAATCTTTTTTGCTCTTCCTCCAGATGAATGACTGAATGTTTTTCGAGATGTTTTTCCACCTTGGATACATACTCGGATACATATTACTTGTACTAAATTTTCAAATACAATCTTGATCTCATTCCTACTTTCAGTGAGGCTATTGCCGAGGCAAGGTTGGCAAATACATAAATCCATACAAAATTTAACAAAAAACACATAATATAAATGTTGTAAAATTTATTTGCAAAATGGCAGTGCACATGAAGTTTAGGTAAACATTATAGAGGTTTTTTCGTTTATCAACACACAATTTTCTAACAATGTATATTAGTAGGTATGTATATCAATAATCTAGAATTGGTGGAATAAAATAGGTTGTTCATGTGAAATTTAACCTAATAACCATATTCATATAAAAGTTGTCCATCCTTGTGTACATTTAGTTTTGCATAAACAATTTTATTATTCCCTTTGTATAATTAGTCGATTTCGCAACTTACAAATGTTGCTATTCCTAATATTAAAACAAGCTGAGTAGGTATATAATATAATATCATGTTACTACTTGTTGTATTCCTGTGTCAAATCCATTCAGTCTAGAAGTGGTCAGGCCATAGATATTCTTCGAAACGTTGTGACTCTTGTTAGTTTTTTCAGAGGACTTAAAGTAAGTTTTCAAGCAACTTTTATTAGTAGATATTTTTACAAGTCTTTATATATTTGTATCATATGGTGAATATCTAACCCTATTCTATAGTCACACAATTCTCTAACATTAAAGAAATTAGTTTCTGGAAAAATACAAATGAATCGGAAAATAAAATTGGGTATGTCTAATCCATCGAGAACTTGTATGTAGGTATGTACCATTTCTCAAAACTATTTCCTTGTAGACTAATGTCTTTAATAGTTATTTATGATATAAGTGTTAAAAGTACATTTTTAAGGCACGCATGTGAAAGTTTGCAGAATGAGCGAAGCGAATTCTGCAATTCACATAAGTGCCTTAAAAATAGGTACTTTTAACATAAATATCATACAATATTTTTTCTACAAACGGTCATAAAAAGCAATAACTAGTAACAAATTGGATTTTTAAATGAATAATAAATTGGAAGCATCTTTCCTACATAAAATTACTGAATTTGGCATTTGTCAAAAAGTCCAAACAACCAGCACCTTGTTTTACAGGTAATGAAATGTCTTGTCAGTTTCTTGAAAGTCTGTCGTGGTCAGTAATGCTTTTTGCTTAAAATGCAACAAAATACAGAAGAAAAAGAGGGTTGCATCGATCCCTTGAAAAATATAGATGAGGCGGCCAATCGGGCTACCTCAGTTGTTCAAATTTCACCATTAATATCAATGTAAATAACTGAAAATACAAACTTTTTTTGACGTTCGCTCTCAAAATTTGATGTTTCATTTTTAACACTAGTGCTATAAAGACTTTATAGCACTAGTGCGATAAAGTAACATTTTTAATGCTTCGGGGGGGTTTTAAAAATTGCATTTTTAACACGTTTGTAGAAAAAAATGTTTTCTTATTTTTTCTCCATTTACTTGCAATTAAATAATTAATATACAGTAAAATAACAAGCTTATTCTGATTATATAATTGCCTTTTGGTTCCCTTAAATAGGTTTTGAATACTCGTTATCACAGAGAAGGTTATTTATGTCATTTCTATATCAAAAGTCAACTGCTTACATAAAACTCCACAATTTAACAAAAATTTTAAGCCAATAACATTGATCAAACAAATAACGCTTCATAAATTTCGATTATATACTTCATAAGCCACAAGATTTTTTTTTGTTTCACAAATATTACCTAGTTAATTAAGCTTAGACACTTAAACTAGTTTTGGTTCATCTGCTAAGTCTGTCTGTGTATCACTATTCTTTTTTCCATTGTGTTTCCCATCATCAATTCCTGATCAGCTACTCAATCGGGTTTGTCTCAGTACATGCTCAATATTAATGCAATCCAACACAGCTGCACCAACTGAGCTTCTTCTAGAAGCCATGCTTTTCACTAAAATCCATTTATTACATTTCGGATCGTACTCTTCTACAGAATTCAGGCTAGAGCTACCATCTGTGCCACCTAAGGCATAGATATGGCCATTTATGGCCACCACTTCATGTGTTGCCCTTCTATTATGCATAGCTGATATAGGTTCCCAAGCCATACGTCGAATATTCAATTTTTCCCCACTGCTCATGCACATTGTTCCATCGTTACCTCCTACACAATATAGATGACCATCTAAGGCCGCTACTCCACAACTGGACCTTTTGGAAGACATTGAAGGCACTGATTGCCATTTACCTTCCCTAGGATCGAATCTTTCGACCGATGCTTGGTAATTTGTCGAATCAAACCCACCAAGGGCATAAATGGAGTTTTCTACCACCGAGATTCTACAATAGCGTCTCCTGGTGTTCATAGCCGGACAACTGCACCATACTCCTGTCAAAGGATCGAATCGTTCCATTGAACTCAAACAGGAAGCTCCATCATACCCTCCGCAAGCATAAATTAGACCGTCAAAAGAACATATTCCAAGACAAGAACGTTTAGTTCCCATTGGCGTTATGGCGGTCCAAACGTTAATTAAAGGATTATAGCATTCTGCTGTAGCCAAATCGGTCGCTCCGTCATAGCCTCCAACGACGTAGAGTAGCCTCCTCAAACCAGTTACTCCCGATCTTGACCTACGCCACTGCATTGGCGCTATTGTATGCCAAATGTCGGTTTTTGGATTGTAGGCTTCGCATTCTGCGTGGATGGCGAATAGGGATCCTCCACCTAAGAAATTTGAAGTGTTTGAGTATGTCGCAATGAAAAATAGGCATCACCCTTCAAGCACCAATAATGGAAAGCCCTCATTAAGCAATGACAAACCTCGAAGATTTCAAATTTAATTAGCTACTTTAATGTGATAAATTTCTTACCAATAGCAAATACATATGGATCAGCACCCTTTGGTTTCCTTTCCATGGTTCTTGTAGTAGATAAGGCGCATCGTCTTTCGGGTGCCAAATGGTATCTCATAGCTTCCAAGAGAAGTTCTCTGCATTCGTTGTTATCTCGAATAAGTTTTTCGTTGTCTACTCTTGTCATAAGAAATTCTCTGTTTACTAGAGGCAGTCGGACATGGATCATTAACTAAAATAAAAATACCTTTAGGATTCAACTTTTGATTTTTAAACACAGACTGGCAGAGCCTAGCAAAAGTCTTTGTTCAATGTTCCTAAAAGTTGAGGAAACTTTGTAGAGCTGTAGAGTATTCTCACCTTTGAAATAAATTTTTCACGTTCTAACAAATCATGTTTTACCCAGTTCAACACTGCCGTAAAAACATCTTCTTCAGATGAAATATTTAATTGACTATTGGATATCAGTTCTTTTACCTGCAAATAGGACATTTAAGAAAATTGTTTTTAAGTTATCAAGGTTGTTTGTACCTCTCCAAATGGTAGCAACAGAAACTCTTCAGTCGAAACCACTTGCTGGAAATTTTGTAAGGCATATACATGGGATTTCAGGTGCAATTCCTTGCACGAATGTGTATCTAAAGATATTGAAAACATATTAAATAAAATTTTTGATTATACAAGTTTTACCTGCAAAGCTTCTTATTCCTAAACAGTTTGTTGGATGTAGTTGACGTAATAAAAATCTACAACACGCTTCTCTGACTTCTTGCATTTGCAATAGGCTACTTGCTGGAAGCAATACCTAATAAAATTTTCTATTTAATAATACTTTATTTAAAAGCGAATTTTAATTATACCTGAACATTATCGGCAGTAATAGTAATTTGACCCGTATAAGCGTAATCCAAAAGCAAATCCACAGCAGTAGCGTCCATGTCGTGTATTGCTATTTCTTGTAGGTTTTGTTCTTTCATTTCACCTTATTGAAAATATTTTTCAAAACGAATACTTGGAGTTAAAATATTTGTTAAACTCACCATTAAACATGGCAAAAAAGTAGGAACTAACTGAAGCCAAAACGACTTTGTGGGCTCTAAACTTCTCTATTCCTATTTTTAATATAACATCGCACAACTAGAAATGAAATAACTAAATTTAAAATTTTCTAATTTCTAGTGAAATAAAGCTACGTTTTCTTGGAAATTTTTCTCATTCATTCATTATTTTTTTGCCAAAATAAATTACATACAAATCGATATAATATCAATGTCAAAAGTGAAAGGGCCAGTCTGATGCGATAAATATAGGTCATTGTGTGCTGCGTAAAGGTCTCGGGGGTGCCTTTTCCTTGAGGATTTCTTTGCAAGTTGCTTTTTCAGACATTTCATAAATGTCGACAGAAATAGCTTCAACCTTTTAATCTGATGAAGCTTTGGCGGACATAGAAAATATTATTAATTAAAATTTTTGAGATATAATATAGATATATTTTACTAGATAAATTAACTGTTGGAATATCTCGTGACAAAATACCTATGAATGTCTTAGTTTGTTTCAACTTTTGTCCAGTAATTGACCATAAAAGTTTCGTTTGACTTACAAAATTACCATCATTAACCTATTTTTTTTTAAGAGCCAATAATCTACACAGACCGAAAATCAATAAAGTTGAATTTGAAAACTTCGTGTTTTTATATAGCAAATTGATTCGTTTCGACTTTTATTTATTTTTCGCTGTCTCAGGACGAAATAAAGCAACGTTTCACGGCTTGCAAAAGTCTGTTTATAGAAGGGTTGTTATGGGTTTATGGGCTGTGGCGACCTCGTTAAACTGTTATGGTTTAATTTGTAAGTCTATGATAGTTAAGCAAAGGATTAAGGATGGTTAAGGGTTTGGTTAAACAGAATATTGACAACAAAAATCACAAATATTGTTGTATCAATTAGAGTTGAGGAAATTTCATTATCCTTGTCACCCCTTTGTTTCTTGTCTCATGTCTTTGTATACAATAAAGCTCAAGTTCTTTTGTCCAGTGAAATTGGGTTTTTTTCCTAGAAGGAATGTATTCCTTGGGCTGTGAATAATTCATGAAGACAATTTTTCGCTAGTATGTTTTTAACAAGGAAAATAAGGTGTTGTGGATAACCCATTTTCAATGCATGAAAGTACATTGACTTCTGAAGCGGTACAAATTCAAAGTACATATCTTAATACTCGTTTTAACTAATGTAACATATTCAGCCAATTCCGCTCATAATAGTTTATTAAACAAAACAATTGGACGTGGGCTGCTATACCTACTATAGGTGGCTAATTTGCGATAAACTATGACCTCAGCCTTTATTAGAGGCAAAATAAAGTGCGTGCCCCTATTAGTACTAATGGCTATTCAATTGAGGTGAGGATGAATCTATTTATAGCATACTACTATAGCTACATAATAGTTCTATTCTATGCTACTGGAATAAATTATTACCTGTCCATGTTGTCTCATTCTTTGGATATTACCCAACGCATATGTGCTATGTCCAGAAGTCTTAAGACAGTAGCCTTTGTTGGTAAACAACGGCGAATCCAAGCCCTCAGAGGTTGGCGTTTGAGTCGCGGCTTCAAACACTATGGAACCACTGCCCAAAGCCATTCCTGGACTTTCTGGAAGCGGTAAACGGTCGGGTACTGCTCCGGGTTCGACGAGGTCGTTGTTCATGACTGAGTTGATTTACAAACATAATATGTTGAATTAGCTGGGGTATTTGAGCTAAATTTTATTTGGTAAATGATTGAAAAGTTAAATCTTGTTTCAAATGCAGTGTGCACACTGTGGTGTTCTACTCTATTTCTTCAATTTAGAGTGAAATTGACAGCCTGCAAGAGCAAATTACATACTACCCAATGAAGTTATTGAACAAAAAAATGACTTGCATGGTGCTCATCCACCAAATGTAGATGAAAATATTTCAATAGGAGTAGATGTGCGGCGATAAGAGGATATAGAACCAGATAAAGATTAACAGTGGATTAGCAAACACATGGGACATAAAAGAAAATATCTAAGAATCTATATATTTGCTAAAAAAATATCAGAAAAGCATGAAAACACTAAAGGTTTGCGGAAAACATTGATATGTATTTCCCAAGGAGGAAACCACCTGGGAATTCTTTGCCAAAAATGTGGGGAATTTAGAGGAATTTGTGGGGAATTTGAAGGAACTCATCGGAATTTATGAGAATTTGGTAAATTTATAGAGAATTTGGAGAAATTTATGGGGAATTTGGAAGAATTTGTGAGGAATTTAAAGGAAATTGTAGAGTCATAGTCATGACGTTACTGAGGTTCACATTCTTATTATAAGAAACACTAATGGATTTTTTTTTTTTTTTAAATCTAATTTTGTGTGAGACTGTATTTTCAATTAATTCAGTTTTTCTAAGTTGATTTCCAAGATTCTTCATGTTATTATTTTCCGCTGGATAAATTTGAGATTTTGGGACAATGAGCCTCTAACCTTCCACATGCATAAAGTTTAAAATTTTTCCTTTCTCCAGTTTTCCAGGAAAACTTTGAAATGTGTGAGACGGTATTATCAACTAATTTAGTTTTTAACAGGTTGATTTCGAAGCTTCTTCATGTTGTTATTTTCCACTGGGGAAATTTGACATTTTGGGAAAATGAGCTTCTCCCCTTCCTCTTTACATGCAAAAAGTTTCAACATTTTCCCTTCACTAGTTTTCCAGGAAAACTTTGAAATGTGTGAGACTGTATTTTCAACTAATTCAGTTTTTGTAGGTTGATTTCCAAGATTCTTCATGTTGCTGTTTTCCACTGCAAAAATTTGAAATTTTGGGAAACTGAGCTTCTCACCTTCCTTTTTACATGCAAAAAGTTTCAAAATTTTCCCTTTACTAGTTTTCCAGGAAAACTTTGAAATGTGTGAGACTGTATTTTCAATTAAATCAGTTATTGTAGGTTGATTTCCAATATTCCTCATGTTGTTATTTTCTACTAGAAAAAATTGAAATTTTGGGAAAATGAGCCTTTAACCTTTCTACTCTGCACATGCAAAAAATTTCAAATTTTTGCCTTCACTAGTTTTCCAGGAAAACTTTTAAATGTGTGAGACTGTATTTTCATTTAATTCAGTTATTGGACGTTGATTTCTAAGATTCTTCATGTTGTTATTTTCCACTGGAAAAATTTGAAATTTTGAGAAAATAAGCCTCTGACCTTTCTCTTCACATGCAAAAAGTTTCAAAATTTTCCCTTAATTAGTTTTCCAGGAAAATTTTGAATTGTGAGAGTCTGTATTAACAATTATTTCAGTTTTTGTAGGTTGATTTCCAAGATTTTTCATGTTGCTGTTTTCCACTGGAAAAATTTGAAATTTTGGGGAAATGAACTTCAGACCTTCCTGTTTACTTACATGCAAAAAGTTTCAACATTTTCTTTTCACTACTTTTCCAGGAAAAGTTTGAAATTTGTGAGACTGTATTTTCATTTAATTTAGTTATTGGACGTTGATTTCTAAGATTCTTCATGTTGTTATTTTCCACTGGAAAAATTTGAAATTTTGAGAAAATGAGCCTCTGACCTTTCTCTTCACATGCAAAAAGTTTCAAAATTTTCCCTTAATTAGTTTTCCAGGAAAATTTTGAATTGTGTGAGTCTGTATTAACAATTATTTCAGTTTTTGTAGGTTGATTTCCAAGATTTTTCATGTTGCTGTTTTCCACTGGAAAAATTTGAAATTTTGGGAAAATGAGCTTCAGACCTTCCTGTTTACATGCAAAAAGTTTCAACATTTTCCTTTCACTAGTTTTCCAGGAAAAGTTTGAAATTTGTGAGACTGTATTTTCAACTAATTCAGTTTTTGTAGGTTGATTTCCAAGATTCTTCATGTTGCTGTTTTACACTGGAAAAATTTGAAATTTTGGGAAAATGAGCTTCTCACCTTCCTCTTTAAATGCAGAAAGTTTGAAAATTTCCCTTCATTAGTTTTCCAGGAAAACTTGAAAATGTGAGTGTACCGAAAACCAATCATTAGTTCTAGTTCTAAAGTCAACTAACGTAACCTTGCATTTGATCCTACTCTCGATTCTACTTGATAAACTCCTCTTGTATTTTAACTAAGCGAAATAAAAATAGAAAAAATTAATTTCCCATCACGAGCAATTATGGGGATTTTGAGGGAATTTGTAAGAGACATTTGTGGGAAATTTGAGGGGAGTTTGGAGGAATTTGCAAGAATTTGGAGGAATTTGCAGGAATTTTGAGGAATTATGCGTGAAAAATTCCCCTTCGAGGAATTGTTTGCACAAATTCTGGGATGGTGGTTTACCCCTTGGTATTCCCAATCCCTAGAAGATAAAACAGGAGTGCAATATTTTTGAAGGAATTGCACCATTAACTATTTCTACAAAGATACTGGAGCAAATAATTAAAAGGTAAATCCATCCATAAAAAGAGCAATTCATGAAGCTGATCCAGAAAAGTAAAAGTTATATCGACTTGGTCACTTCTGAAAAACACAAATGAAATTTTACAGGAAAAGTGGAGTCGTTTCCAGAGACAAGTCAAACAATTACGGGAAGCGACTATATAAAAAAACACAAACGAAGATTGAGAAAGTACAGGGAGAATGTAATAGAAGAAATGTTGAATAAAAAATAGAAAAAAAAGGGGAGTTTGATAAAGACAATCACCAGTGTGATTATTAACTTTGGAAATTGTATATACATATTTCTTGTCCGTATGCATTATTTTTAAATTATTTCTAATACCCATATAGTTACTGTACTTTGAACTTCGACTAGAAAAAACAGTTCCACCTACCTGTGCCTATATTCTGTCGTGGTACACTCCCTAAAATATCAATTTCACCCCCATAAAAATACACCCCCGCTCACGCAAAAGATCTATTATAAAATCTTAAAAAAAGCAACTTAATGATACGAAAAAGAAAAAACTAAAGTTAAATTGGATTATTTTTCCTTTTGGTAAACAACACATTAACCCTTTGGTAAAAAACAATTAACACAGAAACCGAGAAAGGGCGCCCAACCGTCGTGACGTCTATCTATATTGTGGAGCAGAGAGAGCGTCGGGACGGCCGGTCTGGAATACAATGTTTCGGAAGTGGGATTGGGGAATGTTGAAACAAGGATCGACCGTGAAAATGCGAAATACGCATGTTTTGCGGGAACGTTCCGATCGTTTTATTGTGAAAGTCGCCTTGTGGGACTATCGAATTCATTTATTATACAGTAATTTTCTGGTTGTTTGTGGTATATTTTTTTCTATTTAAAAAATCGTTTTTTTTTCTAGATGTTTGATAATTTTTTGATTAGAAGAATATTACAGGTAGATATAGATACTGCTTCTAAAACAAAAACTGCACAGATTTTAAAAAATTGAATCAGGATTCCTTTATACTAGACAATAATTGAAGTAGGTAACTGCATTTCAAGCACACAAGAATATTTTCTTTCTTAAAAGCTCCACACAAGACTAATTGCATTATACGTGATTAGCTTAAATTAATAATTGCCTTAAACCAAGGCCTAGAATATCTTATTATCAAACATTGTCTTCCAATAACCTTTTCTAACTATTGTATCAAGTCATCACATCATTTTGCATTTACTCCATTCCTTTCACCCCTATATAATCTAGATTTCATACATTCCGGAACGCGAATCAACCCGGAAATAATAAATATTATGGATTTTCTAAGGATTCGGCCAACGACCTGATAACAAGAGCTTTTTTGACCTTGCGCATTTCCCAGTGGAAGATTCAATTTTCTCTCGCGGCAATAGACTGCTCGCAAAGGAGCATAGAGAATTTAAGAAAGTAAAAAGTAGATTTAGGCATAATTTGGATTGTACGCCAAAAACTGGATAAATTAAATTTTCCAGGAAGCAAAAATTGACCCGGAATGCATAAAATGCCTTCGTGCTCTAATGAACAAAGGTCTTTGTTGTCTTGTCCTCAAACCCAATCATGTTATTTCGAGATAAATTTATTTTTGGATAAACCCAAATCCGCGTTTGAATTTTACCTAAAATTGTCTGGCAAATTCCAAATATATTTTTGGAAATTTATAATTATTTTCTGCCAGGTTGCGTCCGTGACCTTGGTGAGTACATTTAATTTCTTTGTTCTTGGTTTTTTGGCACCATTCGTTTTCTTTGTGAAAATACAATATACAAAAAAGTAGTATTGTAGAAGTAACTTTTAAGTGTTTGAATGCTCCGTATAGAAAATAAGACACTAAATTACTGCCAGCTATTATTTCCTCAATCAATCAATCAACAAAAATATTTCTCTGGCAAGTTTGCATAAACTGGCTGACAGACGTATGAATCGAGGTATGAATATAAGGAAGAAGCCCCTTATTTTTTTTAATGTTCAAATTGTTATCAATGTATTGAAAAGAACAATAAGAAAGAAAAATAAGTGTCGGTCTTAAAATAACAGAGTCCACAATACTGAAATATGGTAATAGAATAGGAAATGAAATTGAATATTTATGTAGTTGACAATTTTTACCACGTTTGTTTTAAAGGGAAGATTGTTGGTAAAGAATAAGTCAACACGATCTGTATCTTTTTCAATATTTTTCAGCCCTTTTTGATTTTTGTTGTATTATTAATGAATAACAAAATTCCTTAGTTTAAGTGTAGGGTTCTTACTGACAATTTTCCTCCAGTAGGTAATTGTTGAAAAAATGTTACCTACATAAAGTTAAACACTGCCATTAGCTGATCGGTACATTGAACAAAAAATCACACACTTTCTCACTAAATTTTTATCTAAACCCGATAAGGGCAATTTCGTTACCTATGCTGAAGATCCTTTGTTGAGTATTGAGTATGAACAGGTTACCATTTTTAATGACATGAATCAGGAAAAGCAAATTGAAACATGCTGTATATTACTGGAAACTTACAATGTTTCTATAATATCATTTTATAGGTCACCTTCTGGCGATTTTGGCACTTTCTTAGAGGCAATAGAACATGTAGTCGAAAACCTTGGGGCAGAACGGAGCGCTGTTTTGACGGGTGACTTCAACGTGCACTTTGGGACCAGGGTGATTGACGCGGCTTTACTTTGTGATGCATTAGGTACATATGGCTTTCAACGTACAATCCCTGAACATTTCAGCTCATTTGCACTTATAGTTCCTGAGATAAAATCGTGTTAAGCAATTTGGGGTGATTTATCAATTTTTCAATTTTTCTGAATGCCTTTTTTCATAGATTTCGGCTTCAAATCTGAGAATAATTTAGTGTATGGAGTTTGGGGTATGTTGATTGACCATTAGGATACAAAATCTCAACAATTTTTTTTTAAAAATTTCATCGTTTCAGTAAGAAGGTAAGCTACCTTATGATTTAGATTTTGGAAAACTTTGAAAAGGTCATAACTTTTTTTCTATTAAAGATAGGAAGCTGAAATTTTCAGCGATTCTTATCCCACTGGCGGGCTACAATCCCTAAAAATTTCAGCTAATTTGCACGTATAGTTCCTGAGATAAAATCGTGTTAAGCAATTTGAGGTGATTTATCAATTTTTCAATTTTTCTGAGTGCCTTTTTTCATAGATTTCGTCTTCAAATCTGAGAATAATTCAGTGTATGGAGTTTGGGGTATGTTGATTCAACCATTAGGATACAAAATCTCGACAAAAAAAATTTGAAATTTCATCGTTTTAGTAAGAAGGTACCTTATGATTTAGATTTTGGAAAACTTTGAAAGGTCATAACTTTTTTTCTATTATAGATAGAAAGCTGAAACTTTCACTGAATTTTATACCAATCAAGGGACTACAAGTTTCAACTCATGGTCTCTGGGGGTACGCGGGGGGACGCCTGCCTAGACAACATCTTTATCAAATTTTTTACGGATACTGCTGTGGGAGAAACAGTAGTTCTACATCTTTCTGACCACATTGGGCAAGTACTTATCCTTTATTTGAGTCTAAAAACTGAGCAAAAAATCAATGAGTAAACAAACTTTAAGGCCAATCACACAACAAGGTATTCAACAATTCTAGGATATTGTGGAATCCCACTCATGGGATTTCATCTCAGAAAACATCTCTGCTGATGAGAAATTTGAGATTTTTATTAATAAATCCAGGATGCATATCTTCACTCATTCCCTGAAAAATCCTACTATTCAAGGGGTGACCGGCCGCATAGCATATCTTGGTTTAGTGATGCTCTTACGTAAAATGAGGGATCATTTACATTTTTTGGGGGAAGTGTGCAAACCATATAATACCCTGGGAAACTGAGAGGAATATAGAGGTTTCACAAGGGTTTACAATAGGGCCATTAAAGAAGCAAAAAAAACAAGCTAAGGATAACTTAAAATAGCAAGTTCAAAAAGTCCTATCAGGACAATGTGGATCCTCATTAACAGTCATAGAGGAAATTTCAATAAATCTGAGTTGCTACCTAGCATAAACCCTGAAAATTTCATTTCTTTTTTCTTGAACATCCCAGATGATATAATAAATAAAATTCCAAAAACACATCGAAATCCCCTTGAGGGGTTGGAAAAGCTGGCTTTCCTACAGGAATAATTTTCATTTGGGGGAAGCTAGCTATAATTTTGTGAGGGATGTTATAGACAGCTTGAAAAATAAAAAAATTGGGGATATATGTGGTCTCAATGTACAGCTTATCAAGAGCATAAAAATATTATCTTGGTACCATTGACAAAGATGATAAACCTATGCTTTAGAAAAATACATTTCCAAAGTCACAAAAGAGTGCTGTAATTACTCCGATTTTTAAAAAAGGGGACTGGTATGACATTTCTAACTATCGTCCCATCTCCTTGTTGCCAATTTTGTCGAAGGTAATTGAAAGTTGCATGGCATGCAGGATTACTGACTTCTTTGGGAGCAAGAGCTTGTTTACTGATAGGCAGTTTGGGTTCAGAAGGGGAAAAGGCACAGTCTTGCAGTCCTTAATATTCTCTCAAACATACTGGATGCTTTTGAGAAACGTGAACACCTCTTAGCATATTTCTATGACCTGAGCAAGGCTTTTGATTGTGTTTCGTGTGATTTCCTACTGAAGAAATTAAAGTTCTACAATTTCTCAGAGGACGCCATACAACTACTGAGTGAACGCACGCAAATGGTAAGGGTGGGGGGAGTGTCGTCTTCTGAGAGTTTCTTAAGGGTAGGTGTACCACAGGGCTTCGTTTTAGGATCTATTCTTTTCCTCATCTTTATAAATGACCTACCAATGAGTGAACTAGCCAGATACATACTTTTTGCAGATGACACTACTCTCACTATTCAAGATAATAATCTACATGCTTTGGAGTGGAGGTCGCGTGAAACAATGCTGTTTATAATGCGAGATACTCAGGATTTCACAAATCCACCTGAAGTGAAGTTTTTGGGATTATATCTCGATCCAAAACTCACATGGGATGTGCATACAGATAATATGTCAGGAAGGCTGAGGAGCAGTGTTTTCTTGCTGAGGAATCTTTGTGACTGTGTACCTCGGGACACAGTGCTGAGTGCTTATTATGGCATGTTTCACTCTGTCATGACATATGGGACTCTAGCATGTGGTGGGGCCCCTTCTGCAGCCCGAATCTTTGGGCTGCAACGTAAGGCTGTTAGAATTTCGGCGGGTGTGTGGTTTAGGGATGACTGTAGGCCTACGTTTGTGGAACTCAACATACCGACTCTTGTATCAGCTTATATTATGGAATTTGTGCTGTATGTCAAGAGGTTTGAACACAAATTCTTGTCTCATAGTGATACCCACGACTATAAAACCAGACACTGCAGCAATATTGTGCCGTCTCATTTCCAATTGTCAAAGTGCCAGGGTCGCCTCGAGTTTATGGCGGTCAAGCTATTTAATAAATTACCGATAGACATAAAAAATTGCCCATTGACCTATTTAAAGAGACAGTTAAGAAACTAGTATGCTCCAAGGCTTTTTACAGGAGTTCCTCCAACACTAGTCATTTTGTTTGAAATGTATTGGATGTGTATTGTATATGTCTCAATTTTAACCTGTTTATATCTGAATTTTAGACTATCTGTATGAATTTCAATCTGTATTTGTTCATTCTCTTGTTTTCTGTTTCAATGTGATAGATGAACAAAAGTAATAGCTAGTTCAGCTACTGACCTATGCTATTGACTTGTGTAAATGCTTTGTGTATATTGACATCAATAAATTACTTTACTTCACTTTACTTTGTTAAGCAACTCTCATTGTTGAACCAAAACAAATTCCATAAACTTGTAATAGTACCTAACAGTAAGATAAACTTTTTGTTCTTTTTTTATTAGACAATAGACGATATTAAGACGATGGCATCGGATCCGAGGCTGTCACACTATAATTTCAAAGTAGAGCCAACCGAATTACAAGGTGAGTTTTGGATCATTTTATTTCACTGGCCAATCTATTTAATCATCAAATTTTTTTCCAGGATCCATTCCACCAGTAATAATTAATATCAAATCTGAACCTAGAAACTCCTACTTAGCACAGATGCTTCTTAGCAATTCAAAGTAAGTTTTTTATTGAATCTTGAATCCAAATAATTCCGAACATTTGCAGCAGAAAGTGTCCCAAATGCAAAATTAATATTTCTGAAGAGTCTTTCGGACAGCATATTCTAGTTTGTTCTATAAACGAAAAAGAAACCCAACTTGATGGGGATAATAATGATTCTCATATGTCCAGTTTTGAAGAAAATCGGAATGAAGTAATGGAGGAAATGGAATGTACTGATTCTGAACGCAGCAGCTCACTTCAACAGTCGTTGAGTGTGTCAAGAGGAATTGAAAATAACGATAATGAGGGAAATAACTATTATACAACCTACAGACATTCGCATTGGAATTCTGAAGGTAAGAATAATCAATATTCTTAGGTAGATATTTATCAGCAATTTTTGGTGCACAATAACAATCACCAGCTCTTTTTCGCTTGATTCTAACAAATTAAAAGGTGAAAAGCGTTTCAATTAATGGAGTCCCTCTTCAAATTGATAAGTTAATCTATAGAGGGTTTGAAAAGCTGCAAAAAGGGTCTCTGCACACGTTTTTTACCATTCATGACGAGCAGTTTTGATTTTGCATAAACTAAAACTACTGGCTTGTAGCCAATTAAATTCCTGGCGAAAAGTCAGTCACCCAAAGTCAAAGTTGCAGGTTAAGGGGCCTTGTAACGATGCAGAACCTTGTGTGAACTCACAGATATGAGAAAATAATGATTCAAGAAATCCTTTTCTAAAGATGAAAAATAACGAAGAAAATCATGATTAACAAAAAAGTTCAAGACTTGAAATAGACTACTCAATATCTGACTCAAGCTTGGAAATTGAGTCGGAAATTAAGCTGCATAATAATTATGTTTTTAGTTGTGATAACTTTTTATTTTGCCCGAGGGGTATTTCATTGAAGTTTTTTTTTGTACATATATTGTGCAATACTCAGGTATTGCAGAGTATTGTGAGAGTATTGTGTACTATTGCAACCTATTGCCCAATGATTCTAGATATTGCAAACCATTGGGATTATTGTGAACTATTGCAAGTTATTGCTGTACATAGGTATTCCCTATTTCTTCAAACTTTTATATTTTTCTTTGGTATTATTTAAATCTTCAAATGGATGAGATCATCAATTTCATCTTTTTCAAGCTATCTAAACTGGCATACGTTTAGAAACTTCACTTTGCTTTTCTTGTAGTCTGTATGCAGTACTTTTGCGATGTACCACGCAGTATCATAACATAATATACTGCAGAGTAATATTTAGGTCGAATATATAGTCTTCCTCCTTCATCATTTATCACTCCTACATTATGAAACTTTCATTTTCGAATTTATTTTCACTTGTGGGAATATCAGAGCTGTCTGTTTTTCAGCAAAAAAACAACATAGACTTAACTTTCTTACTGTCTTTGACCTTCCATTGTTCATATCTGTTACCTAAGCATTGTAATCTTTAACATTAAAAGCTACCCTGTTCATATAATTTTTGAAAGAATTGAACTCCTCTGGTTCTTTGTCTTCCATCACAACATCATTATCAGTTTCTTCCTGAATAGCCTCAGATGAGTCAGTCGAATTGAGTTCATCTTTGTTGAAATTGGCGTCAACTCTAGAGTTAATTATTGTTGATAGAATAGTATGTCTGTCAAAACAGTTAACTGTATAATCTCAAGATATTGTCTATTCCTAACATCTGAAGAACAGCAACGCAAACACGAGACCAAAAAGGTAGTTTATGGAGTTCAGGGGATCACGAGGGACCATTAGGACACAAAATTTCAACAAAAAAAAGTTTGAAATTTCATCGTTTTCCTTCTTATCCCACTGGCGGGCTACAATCCCTGAAAATTTTAGCTCAATTGGACTTATAGATTCCGAGAAAAAATCGCGTTAAGGAAATCCGCGGGTATTGGGCGGGAGCAAAATCTTCTGAGTGCCTTTTTTCATAGAAGCCGGCTCCAAATCTTGGAATAATTTAGTTTATGGAGTTCAGGGGATCAGGAGGGACCATTAGGACACAAAATCTCAACAATTTTTTTTTTCTAATTTCATCGTTTCAGTAAGAAGGTAAGCTACCTCAGATTAAGCTACCTTATGATTTAGATTTTGGAAAACTTTGAAAGGTCATAACTTTTTTTCTATTGAAGATAGATAGCTGAAATTTATAGCGATTCTTATCCCACTGGCGGGCTACAATCCCTAAAAATTTCAGCTAATTTGCACGTATAGTTCCTGAGATAAAATCGTGTTAAGTGGAGTTGAGGGGATCACGAGGGACCATTAGGACTCAAAATCTCAAAAAAATTTTTTTTAAATTTCATCGTTTTAGTATATCATGATCAAACTACAAAATGTGCGCAAAGACCCTCCATTTTCCAGTTTTTCATCCGTTCAGATTGATTAATGCCCTTCTTACATTGTATTTCAGAATTCTAGCAAAATATTTACAAATTCCTTTATACTTCATTCACTACTGGTTATATTTAACAAAAATTTAGTTAAAATACCTAAAACTTAATAAAATAGCACATACATACCTCTAATATCTGCGAATAATACGCCTTATTGTTAAGCTAGGACTGATCATTTTAAAATACTCTCCATTTCCATAATAAGGAAAAATATGATGCTCAAGTCTCCCTGCATTCTTGTATAATTAAGAATTCTTAATATGTATACTTTTTCTGTTTCATAGGTAGCGGCAGCACGGAAGGTCTTATCCCCTCAGAAGACGATAAAAGTGATGATGACGCTGTTAACGACTTCCTTTTGCAGGACAGCACATATTCCTGTTCAATGTGTTCGTTTACAACAGATAGAGAACAAGCGTTAAGCCAGCATGAACGCTACCACAAAAACTCCACCTTGCCCATTTTAAATTGCATTTATTGCAACCAAAAATATATTGAAAAAGATCTTCACTTGCATATCGGCAAAATACATCCAGGGCAAAAATTGCAGGGTATTACCGCGGCAGGCCTAACGGTAGATCTTGAACAAAAAACAAAATTGGCTCTCCAATGTCCTAAGTGTAAATATGTCGGTAAAAATGACCTATTATTACGAGCGCATTTGGAAAGACACAAATTTAAAGAAACTGGGATGTTTGTTAGAAAAGATGACGGCTGTTGGCAGTGCGACTTATGTTCACATTCTACGAAACATATTTGCGATTTGCAAAAGCACAGAACCAGTCATGAATATTACCGTATTCAAAAATGTCCTTGGTGTGACTTTAAATCCACTAGTAAAATCATCCACTTGCATAAAGTTAGATGTAGCGAGAGAACAAAAAATGTACCTGTTGAAGTTGAATCAAATCCTCCAGTAAGAAATAATACCAATAGTAGTGACAAAACAAAAAAGGTACCAGTTGATGTTGAATCAGATCCTCCAGTAATAAATAATATCAAATATAGTGAAGAAACGGAAAATCTACCAGTTGAAGTTGAATTAAATCCTTCAGTAACAAATAATAGCAAATGTAGCGAAAACACAAAAGTTGAAGTTGAATCGAATCCAAATAATATCAAGCAAGTGTTCAAATGTGCCCACTGTCCCTTTTCAACGGATTCCCAACTTATACTTAAATCTCACATGCAATATAAACACAGACTTTATCAATGTCCTCATTGTTCTATTGCTGTGAAGAGCTCATCTAATTTTAGGAGTCATTTAAGAATGCATAAAAGATATTTGCAAAATGTAAAATGCAGCAATTGCGACTTTGAAGGACCTTTACCGACTTTGAGAGCCCACTGTTTCCATAAGAGTCATAAACTTGATAAAAGAAATGTTAAAAAGGCAAAGTCTAATATGGAAGATGAAACCGGTAGTTTAAAAAAAGATAAGGAACCCAAAAATCACAAGCAGTATGCTTATAAATGTTATAATTGTTCTTTTTCAACCATACAACGAGAATTTTTAAAAATTCACTTGAAAACTCACACTGAAAAACAGCCTGTCAATAAATGTTCCGAATGTGATTATCAATCTACACCTCAAACTCTTCAAATTCATATTTTCACATGCCATAAAACCGAAGAGCTTGCTATTGAACATAAAACTGGTCGATGCTTTGTGTGCTCGGCTAGTTTCAAAAAAAATTTCCATTATCAGAATCACTGGAAAACGCACGTCGAAGGTTCTCCAATAATTAAATGTAAGAGCTGTGATTTCAAATCAACTCCATCAGTTATGATTACGCATCGAAAAAAATGTAGAAAAACTGTTAAGAATAGTACAACCTCTGAAATCACTAAGGAAAAAGCATTTGATTTAGATAAAAATGAAGAAAAGGTTTCTGACGAAGGAAATGCAAAAAATACGCAAAATGAAAACTATGAACATATCTTTGTCCAGTGCAACCTGTGTGACGCAAGGCTAACTAAAAATAGTATGAAGAGCCACGTTAAAACTCATGCCAAATACCCAATTGAAAAATGTCAACATTGTAATTTTAAGTCAACTCGAAGATATTTACAAACTCATATTGGCAGTACAGGCCATTACAGTGATAATAATCGTAATAATTTTGTCTTCAAACATAAAAAAATTCAATGTGCCCTCTGCGACGCAAAGGTTTTTAAGTCGCATTTTCAGAGGCACATGGAAAGTCATTCTACACTGGAGCTTAAACAATGTTCCAAGTGTTCTTTTAAATCCACCCCAAAATATTTGGAAAGACATGTTAAGGAAATGGGACATTATATTAGATATAAAAAAAAGGCGACTCCAGAAATGACTGATGAGGTTAATGAAAATAAAAAAGAAGGAAAGGAAAAGTTGGTTAAGGACGATTCAGCTGCTTTCTCTGATGAAAAATCCGACAGTACTATAAATGCGTTTCGATGCTCTCTATGCTCATTTTCTACTAACTTGAGATTTAAATTAAACATGCATAAGAAAAAAGATCACCAAGATTCTATTGTTGAAATAAAAAAGATATTAAATTGCTCACTTTGCTCATGGGCAACCCAAAACAATCAACATTTAGAAGAGCATTTAAATGCTCATTATAACTGCAACAAACCTGTGATGCAATGTGCTTATTGCTTTTTTAAAGGTACTGCTACTGAAATTAAATATCATGAACAATGTACTGTTCCTAAGCCAGAAAATCGTACAAAGCCGAACATAAAAGTACTACTCAAGTGCACTCAATCGCAATCCTGTAATTTTACAACATATTTGCCAGCAGAATTTAAAAATCACAATCATCTAAAATCGATCAAATGCGATATTTGCTCGTTTTCTAGTTTTTATCAGTACAGGGTAGATGCGCATCTGTTGTCTCATACAAAATACAACATGCCTGTAGAAACCTGTCCAGATTGCGATTTTCATTCGACTCCTGCTACTTTATCAGCGCATAAAAATAAATGCATGAAAAGAAAAATTATTGAGGAAATCTTGGATAGTACGAAAAAACGGCGAGTGACACAATAAGGAGGCCTTAATTAATATCAAAGAATCGAATAATGAAACAAGGTCAGATAGTTACCAATTGTGTGTATTTCCAAATGTACGCTGAATGGGATCAGAGCATGTGTACCATAAACTTATAATTTTATAAAGAAAGATATGTGATTTTGTGGGCAATACCGGGAATATAATAAATACCTGCCTAACTTGAATTAATTTTTATAATTCTCGAGTCAATTGTGTATGTGATAATGTTTCTCCCTGTTCAAAAAAACATTATTTTGGGCTAATCCAAGCCAGACCATATTCTTGTTCAGTATTTTTTTTTGAACTTTGGAATTCATAATTATAACATCTTCAATTCGGATTGCCAAATAAGGAAGTATGGATTATAGATACAATTTTACACACTTGGGGGCTCAGATAAGCCATACGCCAATGTTTTTAAAATGATATCTGTGAAAACTTATTTCCATTATTCTATTTAAGTAAGAATTATGTTTATTTTAGTTCTTTTTTTATTTGCTTAACTTTGTTGGATGTAAATAAAAATTATTTTTATTTTTGATTGTTTCTATCTTATACCTACTGGGAAAGGAACTGTCATTAAACGACTCTTGTTCAGATATAAAAGCTGTTTTTTAATTGTGCAGTTCGTTTTGGGATTATTTTAGCTTTAATAGCTAACTAAAATTTAGCTATCAATAATCAATATGTGCCTCTTTTAACTGGTAGGAGCTATACTAATTGCTTCTGAAGGCGGTTTTCGTTGAGCGATGTTGATCAACAAAAATGACAGTAGGAATTGTTGTTAAGCGACAAAAATTACTTCCACTGAAGTTTGACGGTCAAAAGTTTGAATAGAACATTGAGAAATGGCTGGAAAGAATTATTGTACTTCCTTCTTTGGGATCAGAAGCATATGATCGTCTGTGGAATGTTAAAATAAATTCCTATCGAAATTATGGATGCAAGGGATAATGCATTATTTTTTGTAGTAAAAAATATGAAACAGAAGGAGAATTCTGCATTCTGTAACACAAATAACATGGATGCCTGCGCGAATAACCTCCATCGGTAGCTCTTTTTTTTTTCAACTATCAGTTCGATGCTTCGTTCGATGTTCTTGATTATGGCTCAATTAAAATCCCCTAGTGAAAACGCACCTATTATTGGAGAAAAAGGATGAATCGAATCTCATACAGGTTTTAAAGATCATCGGTCTGTGATTGATAATTTTCCCTGGCAATACTAGACCAACTAAACTTTAGGGGTTACCAAATTACACTCAACACTGAAGGTCTGCCAGTAGTCTAGAAACTTTTAGAAGTTTGTGATACATTTCCAGACAGCACAGAGACATCTTAAAGATGTCCATCATAAACGACGCTTACGTCAAGGCGTCTTAAAGGCATCTTGAAAACGTCGTACCTATGTTAAAAAATCCAACTTCTTTCAGACGTCTTCAGAAATAATGACTAATATTTCATTGTTATTACTCATTTTAAAACTTTCAACTTTTGTCCATATGAAAACTGCTATACGCTCAAATTCTTGATTTCTTTCAAACGAAAAGAAAACAGGTAGGTACACAAAATTAATTTTGGAAGAAAAGCATTAGAAGAGCCAGTGGTAAAAAATAAAAAACAAATCAAGAGCCTGGAATTCTAGGTTCGTGAAGAATGAGAATTCAAGAACTTGGAATGAACAAATTCAAGATCAAAAAGGAAGTTAAGAATTTAGAATAAATAAATAAGGAAAAATCAAGAACGTGGAATAAGAAACATTATGAAAATTCGAGAATTTGAATTGAAAGAGAAACATTTTCTTGCTAATATTTCCTTATTATTACTAATTTCATAACAGTCAATTTTTGTCTATTCCAAGCGCTAGCCTCTATGAAATAATTCTGCGGTTTTTAAAATTTTCTGAAACCTCTCAAAATGCTGCTGGAAAGTGTTTGGAAACGTTCTAAATGGCAAATTGAAGTTCTTAAGTGTTCTAACTTGGTTTGAAGAGTTCTGGAACATCTTAGAAGTTGTTCAGTAATTTCTAAATTATTCTGACAGATTTTAAATTATTTTAGAGCTTTATATTGAAGCTCCAAATTGTTCTAAATTGGTCTCAAAGAGTTTTAAAAGGTTTCCAGTTCTAAAATTGAATCCTGATTATTCTGAATTAACTCTGAAGTTTCTATAAATTGTTCCAAAATGCTTCTGAAAATTCTGATTTGGATTTGAACTATTTGGATGCCTATTATTCCGGCTTCTCATGAGCGTAAACTTGACATAACTGACGAAAATGCTGAATACGTGAATTTTGGCGCAACATTCACATGGAATGAAGAATTTACGCCGCCCGCGTATGTCAAAATTATATTCTTTTTCTAAATTTTGAAATATTCCTTTGAATTTTGATTGTACAAATTAGTATTTTTTGTTTGCTTTATTTCCAAATAGTTGCAAGTATGAACAGTTAATTACAAAAATCAAGAAAACGGAACGGTTGCAACCTTAGGCCGGCTTCTCATGAGCGTAAACTTGACATAACTGGCGCAAGTGCTGAATACGTGAATTTTGGCGCAACATTCACATGGAGTGGAGAATTTACGCCGCAGCGTATGTCAAAATTATATTTTTTTCCTAAATTTTGAAATATTTCTTTGAATTTTGATTGTACAAATTTGTATTTGTTTTTGCTTTAGTTCCAAATAGTTACAAATATGGACAGTAAATCATAAAAATCAAGAAAACGAAACGGTTGCAACCTTAACCTCTAACGCTGAATTTTTACGCGAAAAGTTGAACTTCGCTAAACTTTTGGCATATCTGCGGCAGAGTGTCAGCGTATCCAATATGGCGGGATTTTGGCCAATCAGAATTTGACATTTATGGCGTGACAGCGAACCTGAATGCAGAATGAGGGCGAATTCTCATGAGCGTAAGTTGACATTTCTGGCGTAATCACGTGGTTGGGTTTTATTGGAAAAATATTTGACATGTTGGATATTTTACCAATCAAATTACACCATATTATCACGTGATTACGCCAGAAATGTCAACTTACGCTCATGAGAATTCGCCCTCAGCATTCAGGTACGCTGTCGCGCAATAAATGTCAAATTACGCTCATGAGAAGTCGCCCATCTCTAAGGGGCAAATTTATAGTCATTCCTTGAGTCTGCCTTAAAGGTCGTGAGTTCAGAATGGACACTTGGTACTATTTGACAAGTTAGTCATGTCAATTCTAAACGTTCAAGGCTTCCTTAAGGTCCAAGGAAGGAGCGACTATAAATTCGGCCCTTTATACGCTGAGTTTCTAGTTTCTACGCAAAAAGTTGAACTATGCTCAACTTTTGGCGTATCTGCGGCAGAGTGTCAGCGTATCCAATATGGCGGGATTTTGGCCAATAAGCCCCACGATTCTCAACATCTAGTCGCAACCTATCAACCCCGATTTCGTCTTCCCATTGCTTTTCTACAGGGAGTCGGGACGTTACGTATCGACTTAACGATTGAGAATCCGTACTCAGCAGGGGCCTTATTCTGTAAGGAACAACCGTTCGATTCGGTAGAATTTCTTCGATTGTGACCAGGGATGTGCGTCTACACGTAGACTTTCATTGTCTACTTTACGTGTAGACAATGTAGACAATGTAGACAACGTGTCAACAATGTAAAATAATATAAATGATGTTTAATTCTAACCTCACACTTTCCTTTTCAAAAATTATTTTTATTTTATTATCAGTTTTCGTCATATTTATAATCAGTGAATGCTGATATCAAAGTGATAGGTATAAGCTACTATTAGGTAGTAGTAATTTTGGAATTTTTTTAAAATTTTCTAAAATAAGTTTATTGTTTACGTCACCTGTAGACAATGTGTAGACAAATGCCCACGTAAACAATTCGAATTGTCAATTGTTTACGTTGACATTGTCTACAGGCACATCACTGATTGTGACGTCATTTTCGGTTTAGTTTTCGCTCGTTTTCGCGCTACCAAACCTAAAATGACGTCACAATCGAAAAAATTCTACCGAATCGAACGCTTCGTTCCTTACAGAATAAGGCCCCTGAGTCGTAATTCGTATCGAATTGTCAAAATAGCGATTCTATTTTACGATATTTCGATACGTATTACACGGTACGTCCGGAGCTGTCGTATTCGATATCGAGACAATCCGACCCGATTCGTAAAATAGAATCCGGGGGCTGAATTCTGCATTCAGGTCCGCTGTCACGCCATAAATGTCAAATTACGCTCATGCGAAGCCGCCCTAATATGGGCGCGTCCTTTTATTCAGCAATGGATCCATCTGCTGCCAGCATTTATAAGACAGACATTCCTATTTTCTATGAGGTAGACAAAGAAAGGCTGATTACTGATGGATCTACCGCTGAATAAAAGAAAGCGCCCTATTAGTGATGGACACTCGCGGCTACAGACAAAAATGCACTCCTGTTCCTTCGATTCCGCGCGGTTATTTAAAAGAAAAACTTAAGGCGATTTTCAGCCTGGAATGATTATTTATCGGTAAATACCGTGGTTATTCTTTTGGTTGACAACTTTGACAGCCAAGTGTGAAGTCACAGCCCCCTACCACTCAAGAATCTTAACCCAAGGAACTGACCGCTGAAATGATTTGGTTATAGCAGTGTAGGATTATGTTTATTATTCCTATTTGTTTTTTCGTTTCAACAATGGTTTGTTGTTTAGGTACAAAAAATGGAGCGGAATCTCTCGTTAGTCTCGTTCATCGAACAGATTTTCTTTGGGGATGATCTAAACCTCGATCTAAGCATTGGTGAGTTGCAGTGAGTGAGTGAGTGTATACTTCTCCCATTGTGCCAAGCCACAACACAACTGCAAAATCACAAAACACCAATACCAATTCCCAAAATAATAACAATCACATCAAAAAGCTGTAACCAAAAGATTAACCCAAGTCCAAAGCTGGGTTATAATCGGTTATAAGTGGTAAATACCAAAAGCAAATCAGCTGATATGTGACATCACAACTTCCCCTACTTTGGTTAAAACCGCGACGGCGGAAATGCATTGGTTATAACCAAATAATAATCATTCCAGGCTGAAAATCGCCTCAAACCAGTGAGTGCACCCAGTACATTCTCTAATTTTTTTCCGTATGTTCCGTGCAATGGGCAATGTAAATAGTTGGGCTTGATAATGCCCGGGCAATTTGAAAAGTGCCCAAAGGGATATGACAAAATTATGAATTAAGTATACAGAAAATATCATCACATTTCCCGGGCATTATGAATAATGCTGAGCTGGAGTGGAGTGGACTGATTAAAATTGCAAACTAGCCGGGTTGTTATCGGTAAGTTTCATAATTGTCTGATAAAAATTGCCAATTAACCCAAACTAACCGGCAGCCTTAATTCTGTAACTTGCGACCGCAGAGAATTGCGCAATTGTCACTGTCAAGTCGCTGTCAAACGCGAGTTTTCTATTCAAAAAAAGCAACTTGCGACCGGTTGCTGGTTGCTATGTAGTTGCTGTTCGTAGAGAATAGGCCTGCGGGTTATTATCGGTAAGTTTGATTGGATTCAAATTGCAAACTAACCGACTGAAATAAAAATGCGTGGGTGTTTCCCGCACGCTG